CTTCGGCGTGTAAAGCAGAAGAGCAAACAGAGTTGGTCGTTTTCTCCTCTCCGTTATGAAAACAGGAGAAAAATTGACTTGTTGACTTAAACGACGAAGTGTGGGCACGTTCGTATCTCTACGATGTCATCACATCTTGTATATTTTTTTACGGAGTGGGGATAAAAAGATGATGATGGATGACCAGACAACTCCTCTTTCTTAACGTGATGGAGAGATAGACAATTTGGCCAGTGTTTCAAGGAAGGCCACCACTTGCAAGAAATAAGGGGGGGGAAAGTGGTTTCTTGCAGGTGAATATTTTGACCCGGGAGAAATGCAAGGTGCAAGAAACTACGCCCTGCCGCGGTAAATACTTCATCAGGTGCGTGGCTGGATGGCGCTTATTTCTCCCACTTTCTCCCAGTTTTTGGCACCTCGCATTTCTTGCATTGCTTGTTTTTCAGCGGAAGAAATGTAGAAAACCTGCAAGAAATGGTTTTTTACAGCTATTTTGACCCGCAAGAAATACACGGCGCTAAAAACTATAACCGCTGGAAATTTTTCAGACGGCGCGTGGCTAAATGGCGCATTTTTCTCCCAGTTTCTTGCACCTCACATTTCTTGCATTGCCTGCCCCCAGTGCCAGAAATGCATGTCGCAAACCCGCAAGTCTCGAAACACTGCCCGTTTTCTAACCTGATGGAGAAAATAGAATCGCAAGACAATTTATTATGTAGAGCGCAACCCGTCGTCGTTCTTGGTGGTGGTGGTGGTGGTGAGATAGCTTGAGGAGGATAATAATGAGACTTTGTTAAACATCCGAAACTAATTGGACGGTTCGGAAATCAAATTAGCTAATTGGCCAATCCAACCCTAACCGGGCGAGGAGAAGGAAAAGTCACCCAGCCCAGTGCACGAGGGGGAGATAATGGAAATCCGAGCGCATATCTACCAAGCGGAGGAGGCGGAGGGTTCCATCCATCCACGACCATTAGATTACGTACGGCCCGATAAACACGGGCTAAAAGTATGCCTCACTTGACGCAAGGGAGGCTTTGTCCATGGGAAGTTAAGTCCGAAGGGGTGGTCGCCATGCTTTTTGGCGTCGCCGTGTCGCCAGTGTTTCGCATTTTGCGAGTTTGCTACATACATTTCTTGCACTGGAAAACAAGTAATGCAAGAGATGCGAGATGCAAGAAAGCGCAAGAAATAAGCGCCATCAAGCCACGCGCCGTATGAAGTACATATTTACAGCGACGTTTCTTGCACCTTGCATTTCTCCCAGGTCAAAATAGCTGCAAGAAACCACTTACTTACGAGTTTGCTACATACATTTCTTGCACTCAAATCAAGCGATGTAAGAAATTCGAGGTGCAAGAAAGCGCAAGATCGGGGCGTCGTTTCTTGCATTTCTTGAAGGTCAAAATAGTTATAAGAAACTACTTTCTCCTCATAATTTCTGCATATTTGCACCCGAAACATATATAAAAACTGATCGAAAACTAGCCAAACGCTCCCAAAATTCTGATAAGTTTTCATTTTTTCCTTAGAAAAAAAGCATCCCGAAACTTTTGACCATCACCATCATCCTCCTTGATTCGAGAAGAAAGTGATGATGACGATGATTTTCTTTCTCTCTCCCATTTCTATTTTATTAGTTGATGTTTAGTTTACTGATTTGATTCCAGTCGGGATTCGGGACGTAGATAGATAAAAAAGATCAGCACTTTTTCCCCTTTTCGGACCGAATTACGCCTCAAATTGCTCATTTTCCCAAGAAATAGGCGCACTCAGGCGGACAATTTGTTGACTCTGACAACCAACCAACCAACCCCGAGACGAAAATCCGAGACACAAATCCTCCACCCAATTATCAAATCATCAATCAGCCCAAGGAGGATTCAATCCACTAAAGATAAGCATTATGCAGAGACAGAGACGACGTCGCCGTACGTTGCCATGACGACGGATAGTCCATCGTCCTCCAATCTGCGACAGATTAGGGACCTATCGGGATATAGAGACTTGGGCGGGCGGGCGTTCTTGGAGAAGAAGAAGAAGAAGAAGAAGAAGAAAAGAAATTAGATTAGTCGGAATGGGAGTATCTCCATCACGAGGCAGGCGGACTGATTGTGATTGCATTATTTCACGCCACGCTGGTTTTTCCTCTCTCTCTCTCTCTGTCTCTCTCTCTCTCTCTATCTGTGTCCTGTCCGAGGGGACGATCTCGCCAGGGTTTCGGATTTGCTACATTTCTTGCTGTGCAAAGAAAGCAACGCAAGAAATGCGGGGTGCAAGAAACTGGGAGAAATATGCACCATCCAGTTACACGCCGTATGAAGTATTTACAATGACGGGGCATCGTTTCATAATCCGTGCATTTCTCCCAAGGTCAAAATGTTTACCACTTTCATGCCCTTATTTCTACCAAGTGGTTACTTGCACTTGAAAAACTAGGTACGCATCTGACGTGAGGTGCCCGGTTTCCCCCGGAATTTAAATTTATGCCACCTATTTTACAAGAAATCCCGTACCCAGTGTTTGTTTTTTTCGGGTTTGCTACATACATTTCATGCACTGCAAGCAACGCAAGAAATACGAGGTGCACGAAACTGAAAGAAAGTGCCACAAACGTGCGCCATGTGACCACGCTCTGTATTCACTATTTACAGCGGCATGGCATAATTTCTCACGCCTTGCATTTCTCCCAAGTCAAAATGTTTACCCCTGTTCAAAAAAGAACCACTTTCTCCCCCTTATTTCTACGCGAAACCCTGTCCCCGAAACGGAACACCAAGACGAAGCCAACAAACCAAAAAGCGAGGAGGAGGAAATGACAACAAATGACATTTCAGCAGGGAAGAGAGAAGAAGACAAATCAAATTATCTAATGGGAGATGTGCTTACTCTCCCCCCACTCACTCGCACAAAGAGGGAGAGGACATTCGGAGCACACCCTCTAAAAAAGTGGAGTGGTCATGATGTGTCCATTTTGGATGGACCAGCACCACATTTTATTTTATTTCATCTTTCACTTTACCCACCAACGAGGACTAAAAGGTTGTAAATACATCTTTCACACCCGTGTTTATTATGTACTTGACTTTTTCAAGGGGGGAGCCATCCTGGTTATTCGTGGTCTGGTCATATTCGATTCGATTGGATTGACGTTGGACAGGGAGAAGAGTGCACTTTTTTGTATGATTTCATTTTACGATGAGAGACAAAGAGTGAGGAAAAGTGGTGAATGTTTTAGGATTGAGGAGTTAAACAGTGAGAAATCCGGCAATAGGATGGATGCATGTACAGGGACTGCGGATTTGGGATGGGGACATTGGGCCGTATGTATGCATACGAATAAGTAAATGCTCTTCCTTCAAAATTTCTAGCGAGAAAAAACAATGTAGCAGGGAAATTTTGGAACAAAAGCAGTTAATTGTAAGGCCCAATAACTTGGAAATTCTAAGTTCCCAGGAATTTTATAACTTAACAAAGTTCCATATTTTTTAAAAGCCGGGATATAATTAGACGAGTTTGTGTACCTGGTAAACTGTAATTGATGTAGCTAAGAGAGGAGTAATTTTGCTATGCAAATCTGTTTTTAATGCGTAATATTTCCAAAACAACGCCTTAGTCAAGTGATTAAAAATCATTACACAAATTTCATACGCAACCGAATATTTCTAAAAATTAACTGTTATCATGTAGGTTAATGAGATTGGAAATGCCTCTACTGTCCCCACCTCCGTTCTGCGGTGCCTGCATGCATGCCTGCCTGGCTGGGTGGATGGAGGGGAGAAGGGTTATTATTAACGGATGGTGGAACAAAGCCCGAGCGAGAAGGCTGGGATGGACTGCCCCCAAATTTAGGGAGGGCAGACCTCACTTTTTTTCTATCCCACCAAAAACCCTGCCAGAGATTTCTTTCAACTCGATGTACTTTATGACGTTTTAAATACTTGCTCCATTTTATTGGTTGGCAGAGAAAAGTACCGGATTTTATCAATTTGTGGGGCGGAGGAGATTTTCATGATAAGTAAGTGCGTTGAACTGGGGGGAATATCGTGGGAGGGGAGAAACTAACTCCTCATTCCTCATCAGTAATGGCGACGGATGGGAGAAAAATTGGAATGGATGCAGACAGAGAGAGAAAGTTAATCTAATTACGTGTCTAGTTTCCTACCCCGAAAGGACGCCACCCCACGAAGCAGAGGAGAAAAAATGGTAATTAAAGATGGCGCATGTATGTGGAGGGAGGACGAAAGTTAGTATATCTGTTGGGTCAAGGGGGTTATGACCTCGGAATGACCTCAACAATAAAGAGGGACATCTTCCCCCCGTTAAAAAATTATCTCCAACCAATATCCTTCGCATTTTAGTCAAAATTGAGAATATCATCCCATTTTATGAAGGGATATCCCAATCGGAGCCAAATTAGTGCATCGATTACGTGGTCATGTTTTCTTTTCGAGAAAAAGATATGAAATAACATAGTTTTAAAAAAATATGTAGGAGAAATTTAGAAAAATATTAAACCTCAATTGTTCTAAAATAATATGAGATGCATAGTCCAGCACAAGGCTGCATAATCTCAAGGCAATTCTAACTTCATTTTCAGAGAATTTTGCAACTCAATTAATTTTATATGCAATTGTTTTCCGTAATTATACACGTAATTGCGTAAAACCTATTGATTATCGTTTGCTTTATCGGTAGAAACAATACAATTCCACCCAAAACAAAATAAGTTTTGTCAAAATACAAAACAAAACAATTTTTCGATTTTTTCAGTAAAAACCAAAATTTTGAAACGAAACAAAACAATGCGAGTCGCACGGAAGCAGAGGGACATTTTACGCCCAGAAATTCATAATAAGCCCCTCCTCTTCCTATCTCATTATGCTAATGTCCCCCCATGTCCCCCCATTACTTCCGCCGCCAGTGGTCGCACTTATTCCACAATTTTATGCGCGTGGTGGTGTTAAACAAATTGTTCGAAATTCTGATAAGGTACTCACCCGTGAGGTCGGGGAGTCTTGGGTAGAGCATGCCATTCCTGGCGAGCCACTCGAGCTGGAGGTGGTGGGCGTTGGCCACGCTGAGGCCGACGAAGTGGGAGTGCTGCTGCTGTGACGAGGGCGACGACGACGACGACCGCTTCATGTCCCCACCACCACCACCACCCCCGTTCTCACCCGAGGAGGAGGATTGCTGCTGCTGGTGGTGTGGGTGTGACTGCTGCTGCTGTTGGGGGTGCAGGTGTGCGGGGAGGTGGAACGCGGACGAGGTCGGAAAGTGGTTCAGACCAGAGGCTAGAAAGAAAAAAAAGACCAATATTTTCATTTAAACGGGACACATTTCATGGATGAATACCGAATGAGTTGCTGTTTTTTATGAAATCAGTGACGCAGAAACGTGAGAAACTCAAGAAATGCGAGGTACAAGAAAATGTAAAAAATATGCGCTATCTAATCACGCGCCGTATGGCGTATTTACAGCGGAGGGGCGTCCTTTCTCGCTCCTTGCATTTCTCCCAGGTCAAAATATTTACCTGCATGAAACCACTTTCATGCAATTATTTCATGCAATTGGTTAGTTTCCAATGTTTCGTTTCTTGGGGTTTTACTACTTTTTTTGCACTGCAAACCAAAGCAATGCAAGAAATGCGAGATGCAAGAAACTGCCAGAAATATCAAAATATAACCCACTTTCTTCCCATTATTTCTTGCAACTGGTTACTTCCTCCACCAGAAACATTACGAACACATATGAAATGTGTCGAACTTACAGACATCCCACCATAAATTCATATTCTAAAATCCTCCCCCCTAAAAAACCTGAAAATCCCCCCCTCTACTCACCTCCCCCACTCGAATACGGGAACAATCCTCTCGCCGCCGCTGCCGCCGAGACGACGGCCGGATTAATCTGGTGATGCTGCTGCTGTCCCCCACCCCCACTTGCCAAATGGTGTGCATGGTGGTGGTGGTGGGCGTGATGGTAGTCGTCGAGGGTGTGGCTGTTGTGGTGGGCGTGGAACGGGAGCAGGCCGCGGATCGAGACCACGGGCGAGTTGGACTTGGAGTTCGTCTCAGCCGCCTCGGAGCCCGGGGAGATTGGGGGCGACAGCGAGGAGCGCGACGGGGTCGAGGAGGACGGCGACACGGGTGGCGACGCGACCACCTCGCGACGTGCCGGCGCTAAAAGGACATCAATTCGGAACGATTTCTTGGAAGAGGACATTTTTTCAAAGGGTGGATCACACTGCCCCGGAAGTGTAGACAAATTTGTTAATCCATGGGGAGAGATTCGTAAAAAGTATTTTTAATGAGGTTTTTATTTCGAAAAACTGTCCAGAATTTTATATTTTTTAAGAAATAATTTTTTTTAAGAAACTTTACCAAGTTTTTTAACGAAATCTGTTGCTTTCCGTCCGTCTCAAAAACTTGGGGTCTTAATTTTGTGTACAAATTACGTACAAAAAAGTTAATCGATTAGCAGAAATTATTTTGAACGAGGATTTTGTTTCAAAAAAGTGTCCACAATTGTATACATTTTTTTCGAAATTATATTTAAAGAAACTTTACACGTAAGTTTCCTAAAATTTGTTGCTTTCCGTCCGTCTCAAAAATTCCTTTGTCTCATTCACTCACTAAAAACCCGTGTTTTCTGTTCGTGTTCGTACTTAAATAAAATATGGTTCAAATTTTTTTCAAAATTTTATCAAACCACAATTTCAATTTTTATTTCTGGGTTTAAGTTTTGCCTGATTTTTATATAACTGACTTTCTCTCTCTAAAAAAACACTTTTTCCTTTTCTAAAATCTTGCACGATTTTTAGTCAAATTTTTCTGTCAAAATTTCTTTAAGACGAGAACAACATACCGAAATCTGTCGTATTTATTATTGACTTCTTTCTTTATACAAGTTTTTTTAGTATGCGAATTTTAATGTCATTCACGTCACGATTTATTGCACAGCCTTTGTCACCACCACCACTTGCGTAAAAAATCGTCCCGTCATGACTAATCCCCGCTATAAAAATTTGCAATTATTTATTATTCCAAATTTTTTTTTCGGGTCGCTATTAAATCGAAGTTAATAATTAGCTATTGTTTTTTCTTGCATACACAAATTGCGAAGTGGTGGCGTCACCAGGATAAATAAAATTTGTCTCACTTTCACTCTTTTTGGGAAATATGGAATCCTGAAAATGAGACTTTTTTAGTTGAGGGGTTTTTTTCTGAAGATTTTGAGGAGGTTTTTCTTTACGTTTTTGAGGAGTTTTTTTAAAATTAAATAATAATTGGTTATTGTTTTTTTACACAAAAATTCGTAAATTGTTGCGTCACAATTTTTTAAAATTCGTCTCACTTTCACTCCTTTTAGGAAATCTTAGATCCTGAAAATGAGACTTTTTCTTTATTTGAGGTTTTTCCTTAAAGAGGTTTTTCTTTAATGTGGTTGTTTTTTTGTTACAAAATCTGAAATTTTGTCCTCAAAATGAGACTGTTTTTCTTTTGAGGAAATTTTTCTTTGGCTTTTTGAGGAGTTTTTTTTTCTTTGATGTGTTTGGTTTTTTGGTTATGAAATTTGAAAATGAGACTCTTTTTTGAGGAGGGTTTTCTTAAAGAGGGGTTTTTCTTTAATGTTGTGGGTTTTTTTGGTATGAGATTTGAAATCTTGTCCTCAAAATGACTTTTCTTTAGGTTTCTACTTGCTTTTTTGAGGAGTATTTTGTTTAATTGGTTAGTTTTCTGCTGGTTATGAAATTTGAAATCTTTTCCTCAAAATGCGACTTTTTGAAGAGGTTTTTCCTGTCTTAAGGAGGGTTTTTCTTTGATGTGGTTAGGTTTTTTGTTGTGCAATTTGCTTCGAACGTGTTGAAGTGTCCCTTGCTTGGGAAGGACTAAGTGACTGTTGGGGAGGGTAGCACCCTTAGCCTCCTCGCCACATCTAGGCACCCGACGAGACGAGAGTTGCGGAGTGTGGGGTCGAGCCGTGATTGGCGTCCAGGCCACCCAGCTCTGCCCACTTCGGAGGTGGAGACAGCCAAAACGATCCAGCTCACTAAGTCCGTGGGCCTCAAAATAGCGAAAGTTTCCTAGACCAGAAAACTTACGTAAGTCTCGTGCCTGTAAGTACTCGCAGAAAGGCCTCCGATTTAAATTTGTGTACCCTTAAAATGGCCCTTATTTTATTTTCATGCTCTGTCCACTACACAACCCTTCGTACATTTATTTGGCTTTGCAAAGAGTGATTTTGACACAGAAATTCTGGAAATATGTATCGTCGTTGAGAGTGCATTTTGTTCACAACGAGGTTTCCAAATCCAGTGGGCCTCAAAATAGCGAAAGTTTCCTAGAGCAAAAACTTACCCAAGTTTCGTGCATGGACTTGCAGAAAGGCCTCCGATTTAAATTGTGTACCTTTAAAATAATGCTAGATTTTCTATTTTATTTTCCATTCTCTGCACATTGCACGACTTGTATTTGACATGGAAATTCTGGAAATATACCGATATTGAAAGTGCATCTTGTTCAAGTTTCCAAGTTTCCAAGTTCGGTAGGCCTCCAAATAGCAAAGTTTCTTCGAGGGAAATCTTACTTACATAAGTCTCGTGCGTATATGTACTTGCAGGAGGCATCCAATTTAAGCTTGTTCCCTTAAAATGGCATTTATTGAACTGCACTGACATTTATTTTGTTTTCATGCTTTGTCCATTACACAACTCTAAATACATTTTTTTAACTTCTCAAAGAGTGAATTTGACCCGGAAATTCTCTACATATACATAGCGTCGTGTCTACGTCCAGGTTTCCAAATTCGGTGGAGCACAAAATAGAGAAAGTTTCCTTCAGGGAAAAATTTACCAAGTCTCACACGTGCACTTGCAGAAAGGCCTCCAGTTTAATTGTGTATCCTTAAAATAATCCATAACTTCTTGACTTTATTGTTACACTAGCGTATAGCCCGGCCAAGGCCGGGTTCTAGAGTTCCAGTGGGGGGTGTGCCCAAAGCGAAAAATCCGTCATGCTATACTTTAAATAATTCCCAGTGGAGACTTCGTCGTACTACATACATACATCAGAGTGAGGGTTTGCCCCAGTCATACTGCATTTTAATTAACCTGGTCACAGTACAATTTGATTTCCCCCTGTGGGAGTAGTTGAATAGCTAATTACTTAAATTCCCGTCGTGTGGGAGTAACTGCATAGCTAACTATTTATATTCCCGCGCTTCACGCTCCCGTTCAGTTCCATAAACCCCAACTTCTATAATTAACGTCAAACTATTGACGGATTCGGATTCAGCGTCAAAAATACATTCGAATTGATATGCGACATCACGGATAAGCCATATTTGGCTGCCACGGTCACGGGAAGGTCACGGGGGCCTCGGAGGTCAAAACCATTAATGGCTTTGGATTCAGCGTCAAAAATACATTCGAATTGATATGCCACTCGCTGTGGGTGGAGTTTCTCAAACTAAAATAATTAATTAATAGTGTTTATCACGATCACTTATCATGATAACCACTATTGATGAGTAATGATGGTTGGTTGATCAGTTGATGTATGTATGGGGTAGCAGTTCATGCATTCATGCATGCAGTGTTTGCTCCGCTTCCTTCTTTGTCTCCTCTACGGGGCGACTTGCATTGACTTACGGACCGACCCAGAACTTAACACTGTCATTTTATGGTAGTGATATGTACATATGCACTCTCCATCACACAGCTCTACTTGTAAAGAACGAATTTGACACGGAAATTCTGGAAATATGTATGTATCGTCGTTGAAAGTGCATTGTGTGCGAACTCAAAAAGTGCCTGGTGCAACCATGTGCAAAAACCCTTGTATGCATCTTTGTCAATAAATGCGTATACGTTATATGTCCTTGACTTGTTCGCGACCTCTTCATTGGATTTCGAGGTCACTCCACCACCACGCCAGATAACCCAACGACCGACATGAAAGTATCCCTACATACAGATGACATGTTTCATGTATATGAACTCTATTCAGCAGTGGCCGCGGAAGCCGTGGGGACATCTGGGGGACATTGTCATTGTAGGATAGAATAGGGGAGGGCCGGGTTTAAATAACAACACAGGCAGATAATGCGGACATCAAACAACCGTGGGGACATTGTCCCTCTGTCCCGACACACGCTTCTGCAGCCACTGCTATTCATTGAATAGTTACCATTTCGCAACGTTATTCTTATTATGACAACAATTCTGCCCAAAAATCGTTCAATTAAAAGTAAAAAACATAGCAAAGTCTACATACATTCAACCATAACTCATCTCTAGTATCTTGCATAAATATTATTTATGTACCAATGATTCTGCTGGTAAAAAAATACCTGCAGAAAAATGCTTTAATAACACTTTCAAAAAATCCGGAAAAATGGACAAAAATCATAGAAGTACAAATGATACAGTAATATTGCAATTTTTCTAAATATTTAATTAATTAATAAATGCTTGCGTTTATTGTATGCAAATTTCTGCGGTACTTCGGCGTCGGTGTAAGACGTTCAAATGATGGCATTTCATGAAAATTAAATGATGCTTGTTAAAAATTTGAAATTTGTTTTGAATTTTAAAAAATTTTTGAGATAAAAATTGTACCTGGCAGATTTTGCAGGTGACCACGTGCCGTAAATATATAAATGAAGCTTCAGGAAACGTTTCCAAATTTTCCATTTCATTTCAATTTTATAATATTTTTTTTTTTTTTTCCCCGTTATTTGACATAAAATCATAATAATGTTCCCAGTATTATTTAGTATCACAAAAATTATTACTTTTCATTTATTCGTCTGGCCGGCCGGAGGGCACCATATTTTTCATTTCATCACCTTCACTAACTAACGCTTTGGTCAATCCAACTCATAATTTAAATTCACCCGCTTTCCTCCCCTCCCCCCATCCTCCTCCTCCTTTTCTTGTAGGCGCTAAAGTCCGCGAGCATGTCGACGTCTCTCAAGTAGTGCTTGACGATGCAGGAGATGGGTTTGGGGTCGAGGTCCGCGACGCCGATGCGGACGCGGTGGAAGGTGCCGTGCAAGTCTTGGAGGATGAGGTCGCTCTCCTCGTAGTTCGAGATGGAGGGCGACGTCGGCGAGTAAAGGGTCGAGATCGAGTCCGCCTCCGCTTCCGATAACGTCCTCGCACGGGCCCTGGACATATGCAAAATTCGGAACATTTAGATATCATCATTTCACTTTTAAGTCGTCATATTTTCAGGGTTTCATTTGCTACATTTGTTGTTCTGGGAAGGAAGAAATACAAGAAATGGGAGGTGCAAGAAACTGGGAGAAAGTGGGAGAAATATGTGCCATCTAGTCACGCGCCGTATGAACTATTTACCGCGGCTGGGCGTCGTTTCTTTTGCGTCTTGCATTTCTCACAGGTCAAAATATTCACCTGCAAGAAACCACTTTCTCCCCGTTATTTCTTGCAGGTAGTTACTTACTCCCACCCGATACAACACTGCACATTTTTCTAAATAAATATGTACCTGTCCCCAAAGATGGGTGAGAAAGTGACCATGATGGAGCAGTCTTTAGCCGTCGCTGCGACGAGGTACGATTCTATGTCGGCGAGCTCCTTGTCACTCAAACTGCGCTGCACTTTGTCCCTGTCCAAGTCGTCCAGCCACTTTTCCACGGACGTGCAGCCGGGTCCTGGACAAGGACCGCGTCCACTACCACATTGCTCCTCCCGCATCGTCACCTCCTCATCTTCTGCGTCCTCGTACTTCTAGCAAAAAAAATAAATGGACGCAAAATCAGATCGTGTAAATTCAGAAAGAAATCGGACAGTTTGGCGAAAAAAATTCGCAAAAACAGCCTCATTTAGCGAAAAAATTCATTCATTCTACAGTATTTTTAGCACAAGGTTTTTAGAGTATCTATTGACGAAAAAATTGGCATATTTGGCGAAAATGACTATTATATTATATCGCTCCGGACTACAAGGCTTAACTTCTTACAACTTATCCAAATTATCTAATAATACAGAATTTATTTTAATTTTGAAACATTTGACATGAATAAATGCGAAATTTATATTTGTTTCGTCAAATGTAGCAATAATTTCGCCACTTTCATGATAATTGTTCTTCAATTTTGGCGAACATTTGTCGTCTTTCGCCGTCAAACCGTATTATCAATCATTTAAACATATCTCCAATTAACTTACATCTTCCTCCCCCTCGTCATCCACCTCGTCATCCACCTCGTCCTCGTCGTCATCATCCTCTTCCTGCGACAGCGACTCGAGCCCCGACGTTTCCGACTCTTCACTGACCATGTCCTCGTGCGCATTCGTCTTCTTCTTCTTCCGGTGGGAGGAGGACCTGTCCAACGAGGAGGACGAATTAGAATGCACGTCCATTTCGAAGAACACGTCGTCATTCTCGGACGACGAGGAGGACGAAGCTCCAAGCTCCTCCCCCTTTTTCTTCTTCTTCTTCTTCTCAATATCGCCCAAATTCTCGATCACGTGCTGGTCACATGGCGACCCCGTGGTCGCGTCGTCATCTTGGTCCGAGTGGACCGGGCAGACGCGCGAGTGCAGCGCGTACACGGCTTCGACGCCCCCTTCGACGTCCGCCATCCGCTGGATGTCCAGGATTCTGGAGAGAATGCAGCCTTCCGGGAGGAGTGGAGGGGGGACGTCGTTCTCCTCGCAGGCCGAGGGGCACGAGGGGGGCGGGAGGAGGGTGGTTTCTTCCAGCGCTTTGGCGAGATTGGTCTTCATCCGGTCGAATTCGCGACTCACGGAGGAAAATGGGGTGGTCCGTTTCGGTTTGAGGAGGGCGGTGCAGAGGAGAAAGACGAAGTTCGAGAGGAGCAGGCTGCATGAAATATTTGGGGGATTAGCATATGATAAGATGACTTATCGGAAAAATCAGCACATTTTTAATGATTTCTCTGCTCTGGGAATTTATTTTAAAATTCTGGACTACAAATTTGTAGTCAGTGAGTTGATTAATGGAATGGCGTTGAGTTTTTTAAGACAGTTTCGACGAGTTCTAATTTTTCTGAAGGCTTCTTAAACGCTGAGATCTCCTCCGCAAAAAGTGTCAAAATCTGGAATGTATATTCTTAAAAGATTGGGAACGACCTGCTCTACAAATTTGTCGTCCAGAATTTTAAAATAAATTTCCAGAGCTGAGAAACAATAAAAAATTTGTCGATTTTGATAGTTTAGGCGATGAATTATTTGGAGTCCTACGTCAAGGAAAATAAATACCCGGGTATTATCCGACTCGGTAACTAACCTATTATCATTGTCAATGGGCAGATAAGGTGATTTTTCTTTGTCTTGAAGGATCCACTCGGACAAGACTTCATGCAGGGTTTCGCCTCCAACCACGTTTTCTCCGTAGACTAAAAGTCCGTCCTGAATAATTATATATAAAAATTTGCAGATTTTCATTTGCAAAAAACCCAAATATTTTTGTCACTTACGCGAAAAAGTCTTAGATTATTTTGTGGGTTGGAAATTAAGGCGAAAATTGCACGTATCATTCGCTATAAAGGATACAAAAAAATAAATGTCAAATGCCCAAATACAACATTTCCGCACGTATTATTTTACTTACGTCCGGATTCCCCGAAAACAAATCGAGTGGACAGTACGCCGTACGACTCGCAATTTTCGACCGTTCCAGCTATGCAAATTAGTAAAATATTATAATGACAATCATAAAAATCCACGTGACAAACAAAGTCGCACATTTTTTTGTCCAAAATTTTGCATGGAAATTTCAAATTAAGCCTCTACAGTTTTTCTACTTGTTTTTCTACAAGTGCGGAAATCTTAAAAACTATAGAAAACTGTGCGAATTTTCGGCATACCTTGAGGAACTGGTTGAGACAATAGGTGCAGAGTTTGGCATGCTTCAAGTGTTTCGGCCACCAGCCTTGTTTCGGTTTTATTTCGACACAGTAATCCGTCCTGGTCGACGGGTAGGGGTGGATACGGGCAAAATCACGGTGCGCAGTCGCAAACGGGATCCGCAACTCTTTATGCAGACGATAAACTATATAGGACAAAAAATTGGTTATCCACACCTTCAAATTATCCACAAATTTGTAGGCAAGCATTTAACACTTGTTTAACACGTGCTAAATGCACGTTCTTTCAATTTCCGAAGATATCAACCTCGAGATTTTTTTTATTAAAAATCAACCAAAAAATTTAAACTATTAAAAAATAACCCACAATTCACAACATATGCACTCAGATTTTGAGGAAATTAGCGTCATACAAGTACAAATTTAATTAGTATGAAACTTGCCAAAGGCACGTTCTCATAACGGATACGTTTTTCCGAGATATTTGCATCCGAAGAGGAGAAAACGCGTCTTCAGGTCGACAAATTTTACACTGTCCAAATTTTCTGCGCGTTTTTCCACTTTGGATGCAAATAAGTACAGACCAATATGCAAATACACGTATGCAAATCCATCTGCAGAAAACAGATGAAAATATCTGCATCTCTGTGAAAGGTGCGCATTAGGAGATCGTGACCACTTTGCTCAAAATCGGATCGCATGTACGCTGGGAAACATCCATTCTGAGAACACGTGTTAAGAACATGCTGCATTTCCTCCTCACCTGGGCGCAATTTGAGCAATGCCGTGTTCAGTTTCTGTATCGTTTTGGGGGTCAAATGGACGGCCTGGACGTGACCGACGTACTCGACGCCGAGGAGCGGGATGAAGACGGAGTTGGCGAAGGCCACCTCCCTCTCAACGCGGCGTCGTTGGGAGTGCAGCAACGCCACGGAGCCCTCCTCCTCCTCGTCGCCACCATCTCCGCCCACTTTCACCTTCGAGAGACGCAGCACATGCAAATCCTACGGACATAATCAAGGCCACAAATTAAACTAATTTACATATTCAGAATCTACTCAGAACAACGTCTTATTTCGCAAATTCGCAACTCATTTATCAAACTTGGCAAGTTCAAAATATTTAAGGGCTTCGCAAGCTATGATTTCGTAAACTTAGCAGATCTATACAAACAGTTCTGTTATGCTTGAATTCGGTTTTATTTAGCAAACTTGTCAGGCTAAAAAAAATTGTTGTGACAAGATTCGCAAAATATGATTTCGCAAACTGTTCTGTTATCCTATTTGAATTTTGAATTCAGTTTCCATCGATTATTTGCAATTTAATAGCGAGGATAAGTTTGCGAAATAATCTTGCGAAATAATCTTGCGAAATGAAAACATGCCCAATTACTGGGTAAATTTGCGAAATAAATGCTATCATTTTCCACCAAAGTTGTACAAAATCTCGCAAATTTCGGGAATTTTTCAAAAATTTTCGCAAATCTCCTCCTATAACTTACGTCCTGCAAGGCGATCACAATATTGGCGTTGCCCTCCCCACGGTACTGCCAGGGTCTTCCGAACACCGTCAACTCTTCGACATTCACCACATCGCCGGCCCAGTCGGACAGCATCTGAAATACATTCAAATGATAAAAACTCATTACTTGCCAATAATTAATATTTGCAAATATTGGCAAATAAAATGAGCTCCCACTTTCAAACGTGGATTCGGATGGGATGCAAGAACCCGGATTTTTCTCCTGAAATCGGGCCAACAACTGAAAACCCATGCAGATGCAACCAAGGCATCCTCATCCTGACTAAATGGCTCACATTTTTGGCAGAGGTACAGCGTTATCGTCATCGTCATCATCATCATCGTCATAAATACACAGCGGATATTTATGCATGGTCGACTTTTTCGACCTCTGAACGTCACATTTCAATTAGTGTGTTAGTAAAATTTCAAAATATTTTCACTATTTCTTAAATATGAATTACTTTGCAAATATTTCTCTCATTATTTGAAAAATATGTAAATATTTCGCCTAATTTTCTTTAAAAAGCTATCAATATTTCCACGATTTTATTTACAAAAAATGTTTTTGGTAACAAAATTGGACTACAAAAAGCGGATCTGAATTAATAATAAAAATAATTTGGCAAGAAATGTCAGAAATTTCATATTTTTTTCGTATAAAATGCATGGCGTCTTTTTGCTAAATATTAATTAAATATTTGACAACTACATATCCGCCGTAATTTTGCAAAACACTATCCGAAATTGCATACTTTTTTATGTTTCTCAGCAGTATGCCGTCATTTTTAATTAAATATTTGATTACTACTATACATATCCTCCATAATTTTGCAAAACTATCTGAAATTTCATACTTATTTTTTACGTTTTTTCATAGAAAATGTATGACAACTTTTAGCTAAATATTTGATAACTACATATCCGCCATATGTACTTTTATGCTCATGAGGTACCCAAATCACCTCACCTACAATTAAAACATTAGCATTCCTCCTCATAATAATATCTGCACACTGCCAAATATTCGCACACATGTACATATTTGCACAGACATAAATCCATTATCATGTACTTTATTTTTTGCTTATCCCTGCTGTCTCCTCATCCGTGTCGCGTGACGTCAATTCATTATTATTTATCTGGGGGAATTTCACCATTTAATGAAAAAAGTGACATCCAATTCATCACCTTTTTTATTTACCTTGTCAAATTAGCTGTCACCTGAAAAGTCCAATTATCACGGGATGATATGCCATTTAAACGTGATAAGCATCCTCACCTCCCAAATTATGCCAGCTATTTGATGAGCTTTCATGGTTTATGAGATTCGGGGAATGCACGTCAAAAAATAATGCGTTATAAATTTCGCAGGCAGTTTGCGAAACAATTTGGCGAAATAAAAATTTTGATCATACTCACGACGAGCTTTCCGAAAATTGTGCATTCTTGCAAATTTATGACTTTATGCAAATTATTTTGCGAGTTTTCATGGCTCAAGAGATTTAAGCGAAATCAATTCAACCACATCTTACAAATTTTGCATTCCAAATAATTTTGCAAAATAATTTTGCGATATAAAAATATTCACCGCACTCTACTTACGACAAGCTTCTTAAATATGTCGTAAACTGAGCATGCATATCAACATAAATTGCAAAATTTTGCCAAATTTCGCAAAACTTTTGCTGGAAAAGTATGAGACTTTTATTCACCAAGCAAATTATTGTTTGATTCTATTTTGCAATTTTTGTGTTGCTAAATGGGTTACAATTGCGAATAAGACGTTGACGTGAATGCACCTATTATCCATTATTTCTTAAAACATTTATCCAGCAAACTATGACATGATTCCATTTTGAAATTTGTTTCTTTGCTAAATTAAATTGCAAACAAGGCATTGACATGATTGCGCCCATTACATATTTAAACATGTCTTATGTCATTCCACTCGTTATGACCGGAGCTCTGTGCAAATCGTGGTCACCGATCCGCACCGTCAGCAGGATCAAATTGCGGTGGACAGCACTAATTAAAATATTCAGTACATGAGAACATCTCCCATTTCAAGCGAAACAAAACTCGTCTCACATTTCTCAGCTCTAAAGATCAGGATCACTTATCAAATTACGTATCCACGCGTCCAATCCATTCACACGAGACAACTCAACATTGTTAAATGTCAGTCACACCAATACTTGTGATTCTTAAGTAGCATAATCCAACACAATTAACTAAATAATTGCCCCTCAGTTAAGTTAACGAAACCAGAAATGCACACGTCTTCATTAAGAACATCGAATTGCACATGCAAATTTGCACAGTTTCTCTGCTTAAACATTTTGTTATTCAGTGTAAAAAAATGTGCAGGATTTTTTGCAAAAAAAAATTTTGCAGAAATTAAGAAATGCACATGCACGTTTCTCGTACGAAAATCGACATACACATGAAAATTTACCCATTTTTGTACACTTTTTCTCCATTTAAACATTTGTACAGCTTGAAAAATGTGCAGGATTTTGTGCAAAAAAAACTTTTGCAGAAATTATCAAGGCAAAACATGTCTCAGTTTTTAATTTTCAAGCTCGCACTCACCGATAAATTGAGCGGGGACGAGGCCAGGTCGCTCTGACCTCGGGTGACCTTTCCGTCCAGCTCAGTCTTCTTGACCCCGGTTGACATCCATATTCCCTTACTCGCACTACCCCCACCACCCCCACCGCCACCGCCGCCCCTCCCGTGCAAATTGTTCACAATACTTAACGACATTTCTCTCTCCCCACTAAAATTCCCCTCAGCTCTCCGTAAACTTTGTTAGTACCACTTTTTGATTGATTTCCAGTACGTATCACACTCCTCGCACCATTCTCAGTTCCTCTCTGGTATTAAAAAGTTGATCCAAACGCTATACTTCCCATCCATTTCGACCACAACGAACTACCATTTTCCGAGTAAATGTCTGTCCAGGGTTGAATTATTGTTGCAGTTTTTCATCGATTTGTTCCACTTTTTGGCAAATATGTAAATAAATAAATAGCTCCGTCATCCATCCATCAATTTCTTCGCTACTTCAAGTAATTCATCACTTTTTAGAGCGGTTAGCACCTGTCAAACCAAAAATAAATTCAATTAATTCACAACCACGAGGTGCACAGCACACGAAAAATAAAAGTGCATTTTTGCTACACATTCTAAATTTAGCATAGGACAAAGTCTGTGCTAATAAATAATTAATTGCAATCAGTCATGTCTCGTCGATAAATAAAATTATGGCTTTTCTGTCATGACCAGGATACATGATTTGGATTGATAACTAACTAACATTAAACCAGGCTTGGGTCATGGTCTCATTTTTTTTATCCAGACGTTCTCTCTCTAATTCATTCATTCAAAAATGAAATACATATAAATATTTGATAAACTTGGAGGAGAAGAAGGACAAGAAAAAAATAATGAAGATTGATCCCGAATTATCTATCAATAAATTATCCATCCATACGTAATATCTGTATTCGTCCTCCAACTAAACTCCTATGCAATGCATGCTTTTATACGCCGCAGTGTTTCGTTCTTTGCGGGTTTGTCACATTTCTTGCACTTGGAAAGCAAGAAATGCAAGAAATGCGAGATGCACGAAACTGGGAGAAAGTGCAAGAAATAAGCGCCATCCAGCCGTATGAACTATTTATTTATACCAGGCAGCCGTCATTTCTTGCACCTTACATTTCTTGCAGGTCAAAATATTTTCACATGCAAAAAACCACTTTCATGCAGTTATTTCATGCAATTGTACCCAGTGTCTCGTTTCTTGCAGGTTTTCCGCATTTCTTGCACTGAAAAGGAAGCAACGCAAGACATGCGAGGTGCAAGAAACTGTGAGAAATATGTGCCATCCAGCCACACGCTGTATAAAACATAGCGGCGGTGGCGTAGTTTCATGCACGTTACATTTCTCCCAGGTCAAAATATTCACCTGCAAGAAACCACTTTCTCCCCCTTATTTCTTGCAACTGGTTAAATACTTGCACCCGATACACTGCTCTTACTTATCACAAATTACATACGATGAAGAAATAAGTAGATAAACAATTGCATGAAAAAAACTCGAATGTCCAAATATGAATAAATAATTGCATGAAAAACATTTGCTTGCACGAGTCGGAACCTACTTGCAACAAAAAATATTTATTTTCATACCATGAAACCTTCTATTTTGACTCGGTCGACGCTATTATTGTCTCAAAAACCTCGTAACAATAACAATCCAACTATTTATAAATAATTCACTCACTCCCTACAAAAATACCCATTTCTCACTAAAATTAGCCACCTTTTCCAAGAATCTGATCCAACCAAACGTCACTCACTCACGAGTGAACTTGTCCTCAATTAAATCAAATAATTAACTGGTCCATTAAAAAAATAAGTACGTTAACAGAAATCGATCCTCAATTAATCAATCAATCGATACGTTTTTAATCAGTGATGATACAGTTTTTTTAACAAGAGTGACGTACTCTGCCTCATGGACGCTGATGAACTGGGGACCATTGACCAACTACTGACTAACCAGATTCTCATTCTGAATATTTGTTGCGACCCCGTGCGTGACGAACAACAAGTCTCCGACCGACTGTCATTATTATTATCCGATGAGTTTCAAACCTCTCCTCTCTCCTACTCCTCGCTTATCCTGCCACGAATAACTCATTAATTATCAGCTTACCATGTCAGTCATATCATTATCCATCCACATAAGACTGATGCATGACTATGTATTCATTATGCAGCATACATATGTACATACATCCACCCATCTACTCAACCCATGGACTAAGTAGTGCAGAGAGCAAGAATTAGCCCATAATTTGTATGTACCATTATGTATCACAGGGCGGATGTGTATGTATATATGTATTATGTAAAACAAAATTACTGTGATATGTTTTTTAAACAGCCAAAATATTTACGAAATATGTACACAAAACATATTTTCGCAAAATTTCTATTTTTGATTACAATTCTCTGTGGATTCTTTGTGGTTCAATTTGTTTGAGCATATCCACCCTCTGCTCATTACGAATTTATTATCATGTCATTACACTACACCAGGGACTACTACCTACATATTGTTATGCTCCCATTTTTCTGCCCACTCTGCTCATGTCATGACATTTGTCACGCAGCTTCAATTCAAAAAAACAATAATCTTCTCCTATACATCAATACTTATTTCCGACAATAACAAAGTGAGTGAATGACGTGGATGGACAACAACAGGTCGAAAACGAAACGTCTCGAGAGAGGAAAATAAACGCCAAATATGTCAAAATTTATGACATGCTCGGTTTATTTTCTGTCCAATTTAAACTTGATAAGGTCAATGTAACTAACATCCAAAATGTCAAAAATGTCAATGTCAATGTCCAAAATGCGTCCACATAATTATTTATGCTTATCGCACTAATTACTCATGCATATTCCCGAAATAAATAATCCTTTCCGGCGTCCTGCATGATAAATACATATCGTGAGTCATGAAAAGATACACAAAATTTATGCCCTCAGCTTTAAAAAAAAGGTAACGAATTTTCATTCCAAATTCCGAGAACCAACCAAACACAATAATCAACACGTATGTACATGAATCGGCTTAAAAGTCTGCTGCATTTATGACTTTTTTTTCATTTAAACCCTGCCTTGATGATTCATTTTAATGACATATTTATTCCAAGTATAAAAAATAAATACTAAATATTTACGTATGTATCTATTATTGACTCTTCCATTTTTCGTATTTACATTAATCGCAGGAAATATTATGACATTATTTGACGATTATGACGTTCTTATTTACAAAATGAGACACACGTTTTTTTTGTTGGCAGAGCAATGACGTAATAAAAACGTACATACCGTATCAGAGAAGAATCCGTAACATTTAGTTAAATATATCCTGGTCCAGTTTTCGTGCAGGTGGAAATTTCATTTTTAACTGAATTCTCAACATCTTTTTTCCACGTGTAGCAAAATAATTAGGGAACAATTTAACTTAATTTACGCGTATGCATGCATGTATTTATATATTTATCACTGCATGGTAAATTTTTTGATGCTCGAATAATAAATTAACTATTATTTATTAACAAGTTTAAGCCACTTAAGGTCGGATTTTAGTTAATTCTTTTCTTTATTAGCACCACAAAGTCAATTTACATAAAATTCCGAAAAGTCACGTGCATAAAATTCCTTAAACTTCACTTACTAACTTTAATTCATTATGTATTTACACTTTTCGAAATAAATCTACAACTAACCAAAAAATTCTTAATAAATTCACACGTGTCTTTCCCCATCCTCTTGAGAGAGAGACACTTCTTCTCCTGGAAACAATATACATATGTAGGAAACTATTCCCCGATTTTCTCCGATACCCGAATCCGGGCATGCCACCAGTCCAATCCACGTCACGCCAAGAAATACAAAAAAAACCCACGCCTCACTTTTATTTACAATAAACCAAACTAATAAATGGCGTGATCATCAAGTAAATGAAACGATCTGGACGCAAATTACGCAATATTTACCAATTTACAAGGCTTGTCCTCAGATCAATAACTCCACAGGGCGATGATCTCGTTCCCCCACACATGCCTGGATGCATAACGAACTAATTTGCATAGGGGGACGCGACCACAACAACAATATTGTGACATCCTCCTCATTCTTTTGACAGTCAAGACAAGACTTCTTGTCAATCTAATCAACGAGTCGGAGCAGCCACATGAATGATAACAACGCAACCTTTTTACTTTTTACCCATTCATTAATCCATTTCATTGTACCTCCACTCCTTCAACAGGACTAAAAATTCATCCATTCCTCTAAAAAATGAGCTTATCTGCCTAACATTTGCGGGTTTGCTACATTTCTTACATGCAAGAATTGCGAGGTGCAAGAAACTGCAAGAAAGTGCATGAAATGTGCGAGCCGCGCACCGTATGAAGTACTTATTGCGGTGGGGCGCAGTTTCTCGCGCCTTGCAACTGGTTACTTACTTGCACTGCTGCGTAAAAACACTTGAAAAATGATAAGAAACGCTATACATTCCTTTAACAAAATGAAAAATCTGTCTTCTTATCTATGCATAAAACAAAGACGGCCCTATGCAAAAAAATGCAACCACCACCATCTAAATGATTTCATGCAAAATCTCTGCATCTCCAAAACAAAGACGGCCTTTTATCCAAAAAAGCTCAATAAAAACTCTCTCAAAATTGCTCTGAATCAAGTATTTTTATTTTTATTACTGTGTCTTTCTCATCTCATCAGTAGAATTATTATATAACTTTGTGTGTGTTTTTTTTCATACATATATTTTTTGTGCTACAATTATTTAGAACGTGTACAAATCATGTAGTGGGATCGTCTCGATGCTACTAAATATGTATTTCTTCTTTCTCACTCCCCCGACGCCGACTAAGAATTTTATTCTCTAAATACACACTTCTTTCATAAAAGTCCGACATAAGGTACTTGACCTCCTCCGCGTCTGCTCCTCCCCCCCAACAAAAAAATCCCCCTCATCCCTGCATATTTATTTATATACCATGATATTTCCTTCCCTATTTACCAACTAATTAACTACTCACTTAATTAACTAACTGCATAGCATTACAATTATTATTGATTTACATAATAGATATTTCACTCACATAATATACTAAATTTAATTACAATTAACTAACTGGGGAAAAAAACTATGATGGAAGTAAACGACGAAAAGTATTCTTTCTCGAGAGAATATTTTTATCCGTGGGTTTTTTTTATTTCACTTCTTGCCAACTTGCGCCAAATGTTCGCCTTAAACTATGGCGCAAGTTACCAGAAAACTCAGCTCATACAAAGTCAAATTATTTGTAAAACATGCAATAAACCGTAAGTAAACCTGATAAAATGGGAATTTCATTTTTTCCCAAAAAACGATACAACAAGAAATAAACATATATAATCAAGAATAATAATTATCCCGTTAATTATAAATATAAAACATTCCTTAATACTAATTAACCTTATTAATTCTTTAAGGTGTCAATGTATCTAAACAGCGGTAAAAATAAGGTCACAATAATAATCATAATAATAACAATAGGAATCCACCAAATTCAAATTTTTTTACAAGTAGTATCACAGTAAAATCTATTGTAAAACGATACAATTTTCGTTTAAAAACAAGGAATTTATACTTTTTAATGCATACAATTAACTAATAATTTTTTGAGCCGACTATCTAATTAATATAATTAACTTTGTAATTAACATGATAATTTTGTAGCGTTGTACGAGCGAATATTATTTTTATACCGGGAGATAGGTTCTTATCTACGAGTTTTTTAACGTCAGAGAAAGGCTAAAGAAGAAGGAAACGATAGAATTTACGTAACTCTAGACCTGAGAAGTGCTTAATTAATTACAAGTTTTTTTTAAGGGCACTCACTATTTAATTATTTTAGATAAATATCTTCATATATTGTTATATTGTTTCTGCAGGTTAGTTATTGTTTCGTGCTTGAACCGTTGACGGGGACGGGAGCGGGAGTCGGGGGTGGGGCGCTGGAGGCCGCGGAGAGGGCGTTGTTCCCAGCGGGTGTGACGTTGTTGACATTCGCGTTCGAGAGGGGAGCAGAGGAGGAGCCAGCATCCTCCACTCCGACACCTGCGCCACCAGCAGCGTTGTTTCCGGTCGATTTGCGACGTTCTGTGGGTGTCGGCTTTTTAGGATCGGTGACCGTGTTCTCCTTATTGCTGCAGACGGAGGGGGCCGTGTCGGAAGTGAACTCCTGGATAATTAGGGAAGAAGATTAATTTAAGTAATCATTGATTTAAGTAATCGTTAACCTCATCTGCTCACGTCAACCTTTGGATAAATTAAGCATAACAACAGAACTTGCTAAGTTTGTGAAATATACGAGATTTCGCAAAACTTTTTGTGGAAATCCTTAGGATTTTTCTACAAATTTGTCCAGTAACTGGTTATGTTTTCATTTTGCAAGATTATTTCGCAAACTCGTCTCCAAATTCAAATAGGATAACAATACAATAGTTTGTACAGAATTGCGAAATTATATTTTGCGAAACCCCATCATTTTTTAGCTTCGCAACGTGTTATTGCTAAATAGCACGTTGTCGTGAGGAGTAAGCTCATAGATCTTTTAAACAAGTAAAGTACTAACGGCTTCATTCGAGGCGTTGGAATTGTCTTCTTCCTCCTTCACGTCGACGGGCGCTTTGCAGCGGAAACATTCATATCTCTCCATCTTTTGGACGGCCTTCTTGTTCAGCCCCACGCAGATGTAGTGGTACCACTTGTTGCACTCTTCACACTGCACCCAGTTCACCTCGCTCCCTAATTAAAAAAAATTAATTAATCAATTCACTTGTAGCAATTAACCGAATCTCTTAATTACCGGTCGGCTTTTTACACGGTGACGCTTCACAATCATCCTCACACTCCTCCAGATCCTTGTCCTTCTTTCGCTTATTTCGTGCAGCAAGCCCACCAGGACCTCCAGCAGCAGGGTTCTCAGTGCCACTCTGCAAACGATAAGTAACAGATACAGTCAAACAAACCGAGTTAAAATGTGAAAAGCTTTCCTATAGAAATTTGGGCCGAGGTTTTACAGAAATTTAGGTGATTTTGTGCAGAAATTTGGCCCAATTTTATATAGAATTATACACATACTGTTTTGCACAATAAAACCCACAGAAATTTTGTGCAAAAGCCTTTGTGGATAAGGCTTCTACGCAAAATTTCAAAACTCGACACAGTGATTTCCCCTCTGGAAATTCTAATTGACGACATATTTACCTTTCTTCTCTTTTTGATAGCAAGTCCACCGGAGGATCTACGCTTCTTGGGGTTTCTGGGGCAGGAGTTGGGCCCATTCATGGCGGCGGACTTTCTCGGCGTGGGCTTCGTCTTGAGATCTTTTTGGCTGATTTCGCCTTGTATAACGCGATGTACTTGCTAATAAGAAAATGGCAAATATTAATAATCTTTGACTGACTGTGGACCAAAACAATTGCACACGCACCTTAAGCTCCAAGTTGGTAATGGGATTCGGCGTCCCTGCGCACAACAGCCTCCACAACGCGTTCCCCTTCTCCCCACTGTGCAGCTCCATGAGACACACTTGTACAAAGGCAGCTTCCACCCGGGCGAGGATGGCGGGCTCGAGGGGAACACGTGCCCCCATGAAGGTGTGGATCGGCCCGACCTCCACACTCTCGGTCGATTTACTCACAGCCTCCCAGTCAACCTGGGCACGATACAAGTTAAGTTATTAAATACTGCACGCCTCAATTAATCGTCAAAATCAGCACATTTTTAATCATTTCTCCGCCTCTGGGAATTTATTTTAAAATTCTAGACGACAAACTTGCAGTTAGTGAGTTGATTAATGAAATGGTCGTCAGTTCTTTAGGCTAGTTTCAACGAGTTATAATGTTTCTGAAGACTTCTTAACCTTCTCCTCTTTCAAAAAGTATTAAAATCTGGAGTGTATATTTTTTTAATTTGCAACTCCCTCCCCCACAAATTGGGCGTCCAAAACTTTAAAAATAACTTCCCAGAGCCGAGAAACGATTAAAAACGTGCTGATTTCGACGATAAACTTCCCCTTCATCTCTTTAAAATACGCACCTCATTCTCCAACAGCGTATCTGCCGGGAGTTTGCTCTTCAGCTGTGTCTCCATCTCTGCGAGTTGGGCGAGTTCCTCGCTCGACGGGGGATCAACGTCCATATCGTCGTCGTCATCGTCTTCCATATCGTCCGTTTCAGAAACTAGGCTACGTCGAGGAGTTCTCCTCCCACCACCACCGAACTCATCGTCATCTTCCGGATCAACTTTCTCCACTTTGATCGCCGTTGCATCCATGGGAGTTGATAAGGCTTCTTTAATGACTGACTCCACCAGCGATGTCACGCCGCCAGGTTCAGATTTTATCACGACTTTACAGAAAATTAATTAATTAACCAATTATCGTCGTTATAAGTTCAACTGTTTATTTACCTGACGCGGCGTCGTCACTCTCACTCTTGCGAGACTTTCCTGTCTTCGGCCTCTTCGATGGAATTTTCAGAGGAGGTTTTCCCGTTGCTTTGTGAACAACCGTGGATCCACGGACTTCCCGGAACGTTTCTACATTTATGAAGAGTCTTGGGTCCTTCTCCTCCTTCGATTTTTCTTCGTCTTCTTTCTTCTCTTCCTTCATTTCAGCGTCCTCTTCCACGATCGACTTCTTCTTGTAGGTTCTCTGATGATAAATTGGAGCTGGAATCGTTCCCAGTTTCTTTCTTATAGTCACCAATTCTCCGAGAAGGGATACAGCTTGTTCCTCCCAACCCAGAAATCTACACACAACAAAAATCAGTTAAATATCCGTCTTAATCACACTCACAATGGAGGTCTCTCAGCGTACACTCTCCGATTTTGGTCAAACTAGTGTCAATCGATCGCAAACCTAATTAGTATGGAATTTGTGAAAGACACGATATCCCAATGGGCACGTTTGGCCGAGATATTTGCATCCAAAGTGGAGAAAACGCGCCCTAAAGTCCATAAATCTTACACTTTCCAAATTTAATGCTCATTTTCTCCTCTTGGGATGCAGATATCTCTGCCAAACGTGTCCATTGGGAGATCGTATCTTTCGCAAATTTCATACTAATCAAGGTTGTCATCGATTGACACTAGTTTTCTCAAAATTTGATCGTATATGCTGGTCGACCTCCATTCTACATATCTAATCTAATCATCACCCACCTTTCACTCAAACAACGAAAGGCCTCGCTCTCCATCATTTTTAGCGGGAGCTTGCTCAAACTTTTCAGCAGTGGGAGGAGTTCGCCATACTTTGGTCGCTTAGACCGAGCACAGCACGGGCAGATGAAGCAGATTTGTTTCATCGCTATTTTATACGCGGTCTGAGCATGGGTTGAGATATCTTGAGAAATAATGACTTGTGGGGCGCTGCTGTTCGGGGAAGTTCCTGGCACCACGAGGGCGGTTTGTTCCTCGTCGTGCGGTTTGACATCGGATGCCTCTTCATCTCCACCTTCCTTTGGGGACTGTCCTGCCCCCTCCTTCTCGGGGGTAGAGATATCCTCCTCCAGTTTCGGGAGAGGGACGCAGGTCGCGTGGAACCAGTTGAGGCAGAGCTCACAGCGGATCATGAACTTCCCGAAGGGCGAGGAACACACGCAGTACAAGTTCTGACCGAGGTCCTTCTCAAACTTTTCTCTATTCTGTTCACGCAGGGATAGGATTGACTCGAGCTCTTTCTCCACAAGTTCCTGCAGGATAAATGAGAGTTCACATTTTTACACTTAACGTTACCACCAATCTTTATGAGGGGTTAGTTAAAATACTTTGTCAAACTGTACAGTATTTTGTGCTAAGTTCTTCCCAGGGTTTGGGTTTCAAGGGCTGTCATACCCACAAAAGGATGAAAATCTATGTCGGTAAGGAAGCAGTTTTGCGAAAATACGGGTTTTGTTTTGTTAAATTAACTTGTCAAAGTACGTTCGATTAAAAAAATCATGAAAACAATGACGCAATTCACGCAGTCATTTGTAACTTGTAAAATCGAAGCGTTTTGTAAAATAATTTTACAAACTTTTACAGAATAAGACGCCTTTGATCTAAGCAAGTTTGCAAAAATTGGTAATCTAATTTTCCTTAAAAATATGAGTAAAATTTTGTAAAAGTTTGTAAGTTTATACAGATTTTACAATACTACCAGGCCCTGTGTAAATTGCCTCAGTGTATTTTGACAGCAGTAAAAAGTTAATTTCTTTACAAAATCTATATTTTCGACTGACAGTTGCCTTTTCCACAGAAATTTTCGTCTTTTTTGTGCGTGTAACAGCCCCGGAAATCCAACCCCTGGGAACAACAGAGCTCAAAATACGGTAACATTTTGACAAAATATCTTGCCCACTCTTAACATTTACTGTCTTATCAATCAAACTCCTCTTCCCTCACCTTGATCGCTGCTCTGAAATTGTCCGTATTTTCACACACCATTTTCATCCCTTCATTCATAATCCCTTCGTACTGCTTATTCGTCAACTCGATCGGTTTAAATTTCGGGTCCAGCTTCGGTCTCGTGGGCCTCTTGGGAAACTCCTTCCTCGGGACTAAGACTTCGATCAGCGTGACGTGCGAGATCTTTTTGAGGAACGTGTGCTGCAGTTGTGAGATCCAGGACCGAGCCGCGTCCACCTGGGCGGAGAGGACGTTCAACTCGGGGAGTTGGATTTTCAACTCGATCCCAGAACGGACCAGCTCCTTGATGGAGTGGATGTAAGGATAGTGCTCCTCGTCGCCGGAAACCGCACTCGTCACTTCGCTCAGCCAGCCTTCCGCTTGATTCAAGAGATCTTCAAAGTCCTTCGTTACTGGGATTGCGATCAGAGATCCTTGAAGGGCGGACATCCAACCGCGAAGCTCTTTCATGCACGGCACTTTCCTGAAAAATTATTCAAAATTAAACCTCCATGATCGACGGTCTAGCTTTGTGCATATGTTCCCTAACTCGAGTAGATTACAAAAATTTAAAAACATTTCTAAATATCTGTACACATTTCTAGATTTCCAGGCATATAAATATTTCCGCGAGTATTTCGAAAATATGGAAATCTTTCCCATATTTTTTTCAAAAATACGCATACATTTTGTACATATTTCAACCTTATGTGAGAAACGATTTTTTTGCTCTCACAAATTCGGCCATAAAAAAGTTGAGAATTACGTTCAAAAATACAATTTCTGCCAAAATTTTAATTCTTTTCGTAAATACTTTCGTGTTTTTTCGCAAATATTTCCAGGATTTTTCATAAATACGCAAATATCCGCCCTCTCCTCATTATTTTTCACTCACCGTTTCGCCAAGATGGCTTTCACCTCCTTTTCAACTTGCATCATCTGCTCGCGATAACCTTTCAGGTGACGGAGTGGCTTATCCGACTTCTCCTCGAACCTGTAGTCCTCGCCTTCTCGGATCAAGTCGTTAAGGTGTTCTTTCTTGTAAGACCCGGGCTCTTTACAGGACAAAAATTCCTTCACCTTGTTCTCCCAGCGGAGACGTTTCACTTGCTGCAAATTTTTTTAAAAAGTTTTTTTATCCAAAAATCCTTATTTTTTATCTAATCTAATCTTACCCTCGCGAGCGGCTTAATTTCCGGGATTTCTACTCGAGTCTCGCTCGCCGCACTGATACACTCGACCAATTTGTCGAGATCTTTCGACTCCTTGAGTTCTATCGCGGTCTGTTGCACCCTCCTCGCCGTCACGGCCAACTCGTTCATCAAGTCGGTCTCTTTTAGGGCAACGTGCAAGTTGGAAGTCTCCTCCGCCATGAGGGCAACTTCCGACACGGTGAACCACACTCGTTGCGGGCGTTCCCTAAAGAAAGAAGATTACTCGTTGTAACTTGCATTTAAAACATCCCAAAATCCAGTGTTTCTGGTGCAATTAGCTATTTGCAAGGTAAATATCAGCAAGAAGTGTTTTTTTGCAGCTATTTTGACCTGCAAGAAATGCAAGGCGCAAAAAACTACGCCCCGCCGATACACTTCATACGGCGCGTGGCTAGATGTCGCAAATTTTTTGCAGTTTCTTGCTTTGCAGTGCAAAAAATGTAGCAAATCCACAAGAAACACTGCCAAAATATACACAATTTCATACTTTTGCTTGTTAAACAGCCCACTGCAAAGTTTTACTACGCGTCCCGCATCCGTAAAAATTCGACGCATTTTCTCCAAGTGAGATCCACCCGGGTACTTGTTCTTCTCCGCTTCCTCGATCAAACCCTTGAGTTGGTCCAGCTCTGTAATTTGACAAAATTCATATAAAATCCATTTAGGCAAAAACAAAGGTATCATTAGTTATCAATCAACCCACCGAATTTGTCCCCCAAAGTCTTCCCTTGTCCGAGATGCTTCTTCACGACGTCCAACCACTTGGAATAACCTTCCGTCTTTTGGTACAAAGTTGCTGCCATGTCCAAAAGTTCTTGCTTCGTGTAGCGAATTCTGCAAAGATACAAACAATAATAGTTAGTAAATAGTTTTCGTTTAATCGCAATCATGAACCTGTTAAGAATTTAAATACAATTTTGAATTATTTATAAGCTTTGGGAGAATTTTTTCCGATTTTTTTCAGTTTAGTTCAAAACTATTAATTATTTTGGAGTTTAAATTTCTAACAAACACTTTTTCCTCTCGATAAATTGTCTAAATATTATAAAAATTTATGCCCGTCTTAAAAAATAACTGAAATAGTGAGGCAATTTACGCAGACCTTGGTAACTTTGTAAACTCTAAATTTTTGCAAAATAATTTTACCAACTTTTACAAAATAGAGGGACACATATCTAAGATATCCATCCACATTAAAAAAAACATTATTGTCACAACATTAAAAAAAATACCCTCTCCATCCGACGACTTACTTGTAGTCATGGTCTGATCCTTCACATTCGCAGAGCTTATCGTAATGCCTGATACACACGAGGCGATCGGTGGTGCAGGCGCAATGAACCGAGGAAAGATAGCACGTCGTTTTGCAAAAGTCGCAAAGCCGTTCGTCATCAGGCAGATTTTCAAACAGGACTCGGTCCCCTTCTCGAGCACCCCAGCCGTTCACCGTCGCTCGGTGACCTGCAAAGTAAGGAAACCAGTCAAAAAACAAGTAACGCTTTTCATTCCTTGATAAGGAATAAATTTACTCTGAATTTAGTATAGTTTACTTGATTTAAAACTATTGTTAAGACTTTCATTTTTCAAACTCTTTCTCCTTACCGAATTCATTCTTAATCATTCTCCTAAAGTCTTCATAGGTCGCTAAGGATAACCCGACATTGAGCGCGGCAGAGTTTGATGCCATTGAACAGACTAGTTCGTCATGAGCGAAGACGCAGTATCGATGCAGGGTTGAGTAGTGGTCTATACAGTCACGACCAATCGGCAGCTACACACACACAAATAATACACATCCAGTTACATAATCACATCACTTACCATCCAACTTATCATATATATCTTACCCAATCCGCCGGTGCGAAGTTGACCGCCTCCGCAAAATTATAACCTTGATTAAACCCGGCATGATACGCCCTCGGAAATGTGATGATAAACTCGCCCGCCCTCTGATCCATCCGAAACACTGGAACGCCCGCATTCATCAAAATATTAGGATTCATGATCGTCACGAGTTGATGGAGAAGGTCGGGTTGAGATTGGAACAGTTCTGGCGCCGCGCGTTTCATGGCGTCCTCAAACTGATCGGCTTTCCCTCCCGGAACCCCGTACCAGGTTTTAGGCTCTCCCCAGTGCAGATAGTTGATCGAGTAGGACCAGTGATCCTCGTTGTGCCAGCAGAACGTGGAGAAACACATGCCCACGTACATCCAGGGGATTTTCATGCCGGAAATGTCGGCATTTATATGACCCAACACGGACCCCGTCAGATTCGGGAGGTTGTTCAGGTTCCAGCCGGATTTGATGTACTCGTCATCCGCGGCGTTGATATGGTTCGAGATTTCGGTCGGGAAACCGGAACCGTGGTCCATGGTGTGCAAATCGGCGCCGTATTCGACCGTCACGTCTTCATCGATGGCGGCCACGATCCGCCAAAATTCTCGTTCCACCACTTCCGAAGGGACGCGGTGGACGGGCATGTTGAAATACTCGGCTTTAAACTGGTCAGCCATTTCGCCAAATTGGTGGAGCGTATATTCACGGGCGGCCTGTTCGAAACCGAACGCTTCGCCGGGTTTGTTCAAGTCTTCGGCGACGCAGCGGGGGCATCGCCACTCTCCTACGGATGAAAAAAAAAACATATGCAATTCAGTCATCGTCATTAGTCGTGATGGGGAAAATACTTTGGTAAAATAGAGTATTTTGAGCTCCGTTTTCCACAGGGTTTGGATTTCTGGGGCTGTTACACCCACAAAAAGCCGACATCTACGTGAAAAAGGCAGCAATCACACGAACATACTCGTTTTGTGAAGAAATTAACATTTTACCGGTGTCAAAACGCATTATTTTCACAATTCTCTAAAAAATATCGTATTTTGACATCGATAAAAAGTTAATTTCTTCACAAGACGCATGTTTCCGTACGACTTCTGCCTTCTCCACGTAGATTATCATCTTTTTGTCGGTGTAACTCCCCCTGAAATCCAAACCCTGGGAAGAACGGAGATCAAAATGCGGTATATTTTAACAAAGTATTATATTTTTCAATTTCTTGACCCTCCTCACCTTTAGGCACCTCTTGAAGCGGTGGGTTGAGACAGAAAGTGTGATAACTGTCGTCACACCCGTCACAAAGCAACATCGTGTCCTCCGAATCCCCACCGTTGCACTCCAGACAAATGTACTTTTCCAGCTGAAAATGGGACACACAGACATTAGCGAAACGCTTACTTACTTATTTATCCATACATAATACGTAAGGACGCACAGGTACACACACACGTACACACACTTAATAACTATTTAAATACGCGTCAGAAGAAGAAGGTCTAGTCAACGCTACAGGCAGCAGAAGCACAGCACGAATAAGATTGACATGTCACGTGACGTCAAACATGACCCTTGACCCAGGCAGCAGGAGGAGGAGTTAGTGAGGATTTCTTTCAAGAGAAAAGTCGTGGAAGGAGATGGTCTTTTCCCCATGGTTGGATCTCTACTTCCGGTTTATTTCAAAAATACATTGTTAATTTCCTCATTCTAAATTCCATTGCGATTTTTAAAGTTCCCTTTACTTAAGAAAAACAGGTGAACTTTGAACGTATGCAAATGCGCATCAATCTGCTGACCCATTTTTATACGGGTTTGAATTTTAACAATTTTCCAAATAAACCGGAAACTAGGAGTTTGGGACGCTTGGTGGATTGGATTTGGTTGGGCTTTGGAGGAGCTGGGCATTTATTTCTTAATGTGTGCGAATGTGAGAAATATGCACAAGAATGTGTACTGTATACCAAGCTGAAATTAGTGCTATGTACTTATCTTCTCATTAATATACAGGGTTTAGTCCGAAGATTATTAGGCAATTATTTACTACTCAGAATTTGAAACAGCATACATGCATACAGACACACAAGAGTGTCATGAGGAGAGAATTGGCTTACAGGGTCGTGTGGACCACCGCCGCCGCCCATTTTCCGAGCATCCGCCCCCACAAATCCTGCCATCTTTGGCCCCGCGCCGTAGAACATCAGTCTCTTCAGTTCTTTGGACTTTGGCTCCGCTCCTCCCCTCATCATCATCATCCCCCCGTCCTAACACCAACCACACCATTTGTACCAACCAGGTTTTTTTAAAGCTTTCACCAATACCATGACTTTTTTTCCATGCATATGTTACTCCCCATCGCCCAAACACCCGGGCATTATTATTCTCCCACCAAAATGAAATACGACCACATCTACCCATCCATCCATCCAAACCAAACCAAATCAAACCCAAAGAACCAACAATCAAACCGAAATTAAAGACAATTTTAGACACGATTAAACAGCTAATAATTGTGTAATTAATTGATGAAAGATAAATTATAAACCGACCCAATCATTCAACATTAACTAACCCACATCAGTTTAAAATGCCACAGGGTCTCGCATTCCATTCGAAACATTAATTACAACATAACCCGAATCACTTTGGTTGCATTTTAAACACTGAAATGTTAAGGGGACCCAATTTAAACCACAAAAAACATATGCAAATTGACCCGTATTGACCTCTACTACCTTCCACCTACTGTGGAGGTCTAGGTTTCCTTTCCCGGGCTGACCCACCATGCCACCCCCACCCCAACAATTCCTCAGATTTTCCCTACTCAAATAAATTAAAAACCACACTCCGCAATTCATTCCCATGCACCAAACACACCAATAAAAACAAACGTTACAACAACGAATACTGTCCCCACGCCCCACATTAATTAATTAACTAACTACAGTTACATTAAATATGTGTGGATGCAAACACATGGAGAGAAACACACGACCACGACCACACCCACACCCGACTACTCTACTACTCTGCCAGAACTACCTCGCTCTTTCCCACTCATACCTACCTCATCTTGTTGGATATGCTCTACAATCTTGACCGGCTTCGAATTAGCAGATGCTCCCATCCTCCCATTCTTCGTGGGGGAAGGCGTCACCTGCGACACATTGTTATTCTTCATCGGAGAGGATTTATTCGATCCTGGGTTCTTCATGGGGGAACCTTTGATCGGCGTTGTTACACTAGACAGCAGAGTCGACATGTTCGGCCCCTTCTTAACCGGGGATGCTTCAACGTCACTCTGTCAAACACGAAAATTCAAAATATTATTTAACCACAATTATTAAACTCTTCATTTTGCAGTGGTGGGCAAAATACTTTGGAAAAATACAGTATTTTGAGCTATGTTCCTCTGAGGGTTTGGATTTCCGGGGGTGTTACACCCACAAAAAGACGAAAATCTGTATGGAGAAGGCAGAAGTCACACGAAAATACAGGTTTTGTGACGAAATTAACTGTCAAATTAGCTGTCAAAATACATTTTTTTCACGATTTTTAAAAAATACAGTATTTTTTCCAGCGATAAACGCCTAATTTCTTCATAAAACCCGTATTTTCATACAACTGCTGCCTTCTCCACGTAGATTCTCGTCTTTTTGTGGGTGCAACACCCCCGGAAACTCAAACCCTGAGAATAACATAGCTCAAAATACTCTATTTTTCCAAAGAATTCCCCCATCTCTGCCCTTCCGCTTACCCCGGCCAGTTTATCTTTCGACTTTTCGAACACGTGGAAGGGATGGAGTATCCTCTCAAAGTGCTGTTTCAGTAAAAGTCCGTAATTTTTGTGTGGCGAGAGGCCGAGTCGAGTCGCGAGGCGGTTCCACTTCTTTTCATTGTTTACTTTCTCCTTCCCACCCTCCGCTTTGACCAGCTTGTGGAGCGTGTAGAGGTCTAAGGCTTTCTTCTCGATGACTGGAATTTTTAACGATTGGCCTTGCAACTCCCAAAATTTTGCGATTTGGTCAAGAAAATTCAACTTGACGCGTGTCTTGGCCTGAACAGAGGAACAATTAATTAATAAACATTACTTTGTGTACAATTCAAGCCGTCTGTAAATTATTTCCAGTTTTTGTACATTTTGGGATTAAAATCTTCACAATTTTCACAGATTTTTTTTAAAAATATTAAAACTATTAAATATTAAAACCGTATTTTTCAAATAGTAGCTGAATTATTTATGAAAAATACTAATATTCAGGAGTGGAAAACCTCGAAATATTGCCAGACATATTCTTTTTACAGCTCAATCCTGTAAATTATTTCCATTTTTCGTAACAAAATCTAAAATTACCAAATTATTCACAAAATTTATAGAGTTCTGTAAACAATAAAACTACTAACATATTTTTCAAATTATTTACCAAAAAATACTAACTTTAAACAGGAAAACTTCGAAATTTTAACAAACATTGAAATCTTTCTCCTCCATAAAACTAAACTTTGACCCTCATGGCTTATCAAATTCAAAAAATCCAAAATAAACAAACATCTGCTAACTTTACTATTTGTTTACAAAACTCACCTCCAACTCATTTAATCGTTGCACACGCGGCGTAAACTTAAAACTGTCGACATCCACGGCGAAAGGAGGTTGCCAATTCTGCACGAAAACACATCCTTATCAATTACTCCCCACCTTATCTTCGCCTCCTTATTCTTATCCTTACCATGGGCGGTTTAATCTTGCAAATCCCAGCCTTTTCCGCGATCGGCCTTATCTTCGAAATATATCCTAACGGATCGGCCCACTCTTCTTCCGACGGGCTGAAAGTGGGGGCCTCCATCGGCCTCACGAAATCAAAGGGGTCACCCATCCTCCTTATTATTTAACACGTCACAATAACAATAATTACGTCGCAAAACAGCCTGTCAATTAAAAAACAACAACAATTAACTCAACCTTTAAAATCCTCCCCCTCCAATTTCCTTTCTCCTCACGCACTCACCTTATCCCACTCCCGATAACGAAAAGCACTTATCAATCACCCGATAAAACACTCTCTCTCACGATAAAACTCTTCTAAGTTAAAAACCACTCGTACATAATGTACAAGATTTTTAATTATTACGTCAAAATTTATATATATAATTTTTACAACCAATTAATCTCCTCGGTTTTCCAATTTATTTTACATTATTATCAATAATTAGCTAACTATTATTACCATTATTACCAGTTGGTAAAAAGGGTTTGATTTTTTCCACTTGGATTTCATATTTATTTATTTAATACGCCAGATTCGGTCGGTCATGATTTATCGCTAATTGACTAAAAGATTTGAACACTGTCATTAATTTTGTTAAAACTAATTGCTAATTAAGAGAGGAAAAAGAAGAACGATAAATTTTTAATTTTGTTTGCTTACTCGCCCAGGATAGAAAATTACTAAGTTTTTTTACGATGACTGCAAGAGTCTGCTTGCTGGTAATAAAGTAAGAACACGTATAAAAAAGCAGCACCACCACCACCGCCACCACCACCACCATTCTCATCAAAAGAAAGCATTCACTTACATATTATATATACAGGATGAGAGATGTAGTAGATATTGTACGCAGGCATCGGCGGACCTCGGGGCCATGAGTGATAAGCGACTAATCTCACATTTGGGAATATGATATCCCCAATTGTCCAGGTTATGAATATATTAACTAGTTGGGTAACGAATGAAAATTTAGAAATAATAGAGGTTTAAAGCCCATCTAGACGGGTTTTGGGTAAGGTGAAGGTGTAAGTAAGCGCCAAGTTCAAATGGTAGCAGGCACATGAAATGAACACACGCCACTAAATACCTAATTCAGGTTCAAAGTTTTTTATAAGTCGTCTATGGTGTGATTTTTTTAAGGGAGAGACTTTTTTTGTATCCAAAGCTTATAGTGGGCGGGTAGGCCTCTTTTTTCTTAAATCACAACATAATTCGTAACAGTTAAACCCTTCTGGGGCAATGTGAAATCCCAACGCCAAATTCAAATGGTTACACATACACAAATCCCCCCCAGTAGGAAACTTTTGAGGGGCATGGTGAGACTATTACGGTAGATTCATATACTTATCTGAACAAAGACAAGTTCGCCATGATGAGAAATGCATACAACGTTTGCCTACAGTTTAATCAAACAATCCCTCGTTTAGCACGATTTTCAGTTTCCAGTCATATTGTTAGTGCTCACCCGTATTGCTCCCCACCGATTTTCCTCAATAACAATTTACCATGAACAAGAAAGAACGGCACAAAACATGAGGACAAGAAACACCGGAAATATTTTTATGCGATACGATGGACGAGGGTTTGCCGAAGTATGTGGACTTGTGAAATCACAATGTCTCTGCCGGGCTTACATACTACTTGCATCACCACAACCACCACCATCTCTTTGTCATACACGCGTTCCTCCCCATATGAATTTTATCACAACTCCAATTCAAAAACTTTACCAAATTAGTATCATTTTTATTAAAATTTCAATTTTTTAAATATCTCAAATCCTACCCAAAGCACAGATGAAATGTGATAACTCGTCTTTTTTTAACCAAATCATGAACCTACCTATTTTTAAAGAATGGACAAACTCGACTAAATCTAACCAATTGTAACTGCGTATTAAGTACATTTTGTCATTAAGTGAGTAAGTTTTTAGCAATAAAACAGACAATGGAGGTCTCCCAGCGTCTGCTGTCCAATTTTTACCAAATTAGAGTGAATCAATCAAAAACTTTATTTAATACGGAATTTTCAAAAGATATCAAATGGGTAACTTTGGCCGAGATATTTTCATTCGAAGAGGAGAAAAATTTGGAAAGTGTAAAATTTGTCGAATTAAAGGGGCATTTTCTCCTCTTGGGATGCAAATATCTCTGCCAAACATTTGCAACATTAATGAATTTATGTAATTATGAGCTTTTACGCATTACAATTTATTATTTATCCAGAAAATAATTTCACATCCATCTAAAATTCCAGTGTTGTAATTTATCCGTAAAATAATTTCATATCTAAAATCTTGTAAAATTCCAATTTGGCGTACAAGTTAAACATTTTTAATCATTTTTTCCCAGTATTTTGAGTACTATAATTGCTACTAATTACTCAATTATGTTTGACGTCAATAATGTCGTATATGTTTTGACATATAAATTGGTTAAAAAAGTAATAAAATTGACACTTTGGGCACTCTATTTGTTACAAAATTCATTTGTAATTCATTCATCATTCATTTTTATGTATGTATGTATTTCTCCTCCCAATAAAATTAATTTTTTACACCACATATTGTCTTAAATGACGTATTTTTAATTCCCATTTTATCAATTAAGCCGTCACAGTTAAGAAAAGGGTTCAACAAAGAGGAGAAAGCGGGAGAGAAAGTCAGCTCACTGTGCAGATCACGTGGGTCTCGTGCCCGCCAAGAGATTTCTTCCGGTGGCCGTTTGAAGTGCAAAATCCATAAAGTTGGAGGAAAATAAAATGTAAATCATCAAAAATTTTCAATTTCCAATTAATTTCCAACATAATTGGGATAACCGGATGGATAACTACTTTGTAAGAAACCTTATCATACTCAATTTCAAAATTCCAAATTTCAAAAAAACACATCAAAATTAATTCACGAATTAAATTAACAAAACTTTAATTTATTGCATTTCATTTCATGAAATTTAACCGTACAAAAATTGTAATTCGTAATTTTACTAATTTTACTAATTGTCCCATTTTCACAGGAATAAGGACCAATTACTCATTCGGGTCAGACAAATTTCCTTCAAGACTTGCCGTCCAGTACAAATTATCGATTTAACAAGCAACTCAAGACACTGACCTCTAATTGACCTCACATAATAAACGATGGATAACCCCGACGACCTTACCGGTGAGGAAAGAGCCGTCGACCCGGACGCCCTCGCCTCGATGACCCTCTCCATCAAGCAAACCATCATTATCGACGACATGCAACTCCAACTCACCAAAATGCAGATTCAATGTTTGGAAGAGAGACGAAATTATATTGGACTCGTCGGACAAAACGAGCATCTCAAGGTACTTATCTTCACTGATAATCACTCCTGATAACCAGGCACACGGTGACTATCCGATTAAAAAATACTTATTTAATATTTACCGACAAACTTGAGCAAAAACACTGGAATTAAGTATTTAAATAATTATATCGGACTCAACGTACTTATCTTTATCGCTGATTGATAACCATCCGGCGTTAATGTAACTATGAAATTCATTTAATTACACGGTGTTTAACGTAAAAACACCAATTTCCAGACATGGAAATTGGTTAATTAATTAATTAAATTACACATTATCTTATCTAATTTTATCTCATCATGCCATCAAAATTCATAATTTGTTTTTATCCACAGTTGGAGATTGAGGATATGAAACGCAAATTTCAAGCGGCCCTCCTGCTCGGAAAAGTCGAGGAAACGGCGGTGGTACATTTCCTCCAGAAAAACCCGAAAGCTCCCCAACTCACCGATGAGATTATCAAAGTTAGCCAAGACCTCAAAAAGTGTGAGTTAATAATATCATCTAATTAGTAATTTGCATATTAATCACAATTACAAATGACCACCAACAGGTAACAAAACAAAACCGATTGAAACGTTTGATAACCCGATCGTGCTCAGGAAACAGGTCGCATTTCTAGAATCTCACCTAAAGACGATGAAGGAACAGAACTTGATCGAAATATTTGGGCTCAAAACAACCCTCGAACTCACGATGGAGGAACGCCAAGTCATGCGTGAGCAGTATGAAGAGAGGATTAAGACAGTCGTGAACAAGTGCGTATTATTATTCGGGTGTAGGACATTTACCAGCAAAGAGATCACTTACCATGTATAATGTTTAATTTAAAATTGTAATTAATCAAACTAACAATGAAGCTTATGCTCTATGATTTTGAGCAAATTAGTGTCAATCGATGACTGATTTAATTAGGATGAAATTTGCGAAAGACGCGATCTCCCAATGGGCACGTTTGGCAGAGATATTTGCATCCAAAGAGGAGAAAACGCACTGTAAATTTGGAAAGTGTAAAATTTGTCAACTTTAGAACGCGTTTTTTCCTCTGTGGATGCAAATATCTGCGCCAAACGTGCCCATTGGGAGATCGCGTCTTCCACAAATTTCACCCTAATTAAATCAGTCATCGATTGACACTAATTTGCTCAAAATCGTAGACTATACTTTGTGAGATCTTGTTGCGGCTGGTAAATGTCCTGCTCCCGTACGGTATTTGAATATGTCCACTTCCACAATGAATTAAGCTACATATTTAATTATGATCTTATCTACATTTTTTTTGTCCAGACTTGAAGAGACTCGCACCCTCTTGAATGAAATGACCCAAGAGAGTTTACATCTCAAGAAACAACTTATTATTCTGAAAGAACAAAAGAACAAAGAACACAAAAAATTGGTGGAACGACTCGCGCACGCCGAGGAGGGGATTTGCACTGCTGGGGAAACCCCACATTCGTCCGATGGAACCAAAGACTCCAAGCATCGTCGTATGGAACACATTTACTTAATGTTGGACTAGATGACTTATCGCCAAAATCGTCAAAATCAACACATTTTTATCGTTTCTCGGCTCTGGGAATTTATTTTAAAATTCTGGACGACAAATTTATAAATAAGAGGTGAATTGACAGATCGTATGGATGACATTGTGTAGTGATTTATTGAAACACAAGCTTTCGGAAAACAACCGTTTCCTTCTTCAGGTGGTCATAAATAATTACAATAATTATTTACACTTGACAAAGTTTTTTCAAATTTATAGTCAGTGAGTTGATTAATGGAATGGGGTTGAGTTTTTTAAGCCAGTTTCGAAGAGTTCCAATGTTTCTGAAGGCTTCTTAAACTTGAGATCTCCTCCTTCAAAAAGTGTCAAAATTTGTAGTGTATATTTTTTTAATTTGCAACGAACTGCTATACAAATTTGCGTCCAGAGTTTTAAAACAAATTCCCAGAACCGAGAAATGAATAAAAACGTGCTGATTTTGACCGTGTTGGCGATGAGGGTTTTCGAGTCCTACGTTAGAAAAGGTGGCATAATTTTGTATTCATTCATTTACCATTTATTTCTTCTCTAGACGAATGCGTCCCCCCAGTGCAAGCTCACCTCTTGGAAAAACTCACCCGTGCCGAAATCCAAGTCATGGAAAAGGAAAACACTGTCAAGGAATATGAGCTTAAATTTCTCCAAATGGAACGCAAACTTGGCAAAATTCGAACTGAAGAGGCCTCAACCAAGAAAACTTGCTCCGTAATTATTACAAATTTTAATTAATGGGCGCACTCTCGACAACTTTATTCGCAGACCTCGCAAATTATATTAACCCGATCAACATCCCTTGTCAAATTTTGACAGCAGTATTTCGGGTTTGTTATTAACAAACCCGAAATACTGCTGTACTTAACAAAGTGTTAAGTTTCTTGCACTCTGAGCAACGTCAGAAACTGTGATATGCGTCATCCAGCCACGCGCTGTATGAAATATTTACAGCGGCGGGTCGTCGTTTCTTGCGCCCTGCATTTCTTGCAGGTCAAAATATTTATATGCAAGAAACCACTTTCTCCCCGTTATTTCTTGCACGTGGTTACTCCCACCCGAAACACTGCTTGTCAGATTTACAATATTCGGAAACGTTTACTGCGAAACGATGGGATTATTGTTCCTACATTTGACATTAGGCCATGAAATTTTTAATTCGCAAACTATCTATTTGCTGAATGAGGTGCGATGCGAAGTATCGTTAATACGCCCAAACAACTTATTATTAACTTCCCCATTTCACCCCAATTTCAACCCACATACAAAATCCTAACTAACTATCCATTTAACCTTTAGGAAATGATCAAAAAGTTCAAATCGAAAAACGAATCTCTCGAACGTCGCTTCACCCGTCTTGACGAGCGGAGGAAATTGGACAATGCGGGTTTCCGTCAGGACGTCTCCCTCCTCAAACAACTGTTAAAAAATATCGAAAAGAAGCTCCACATTTTCATGACACGTCGCCTCATTTCGGCGGAAGAGGCACTCTTCGCCTCCATCAATTCGCCCCCACCACCTCTCGCTCACGTAGAAAATAACAGGGCAACCCCCCCAGAGAGGGATCATCCCCCCGTGCAGAAGGGCGTTATTCTTCCCCACTCTGAATCCACCACGACCACGACGACTCGTCGTCCTCAGAAGAAGAAGAAGCCGGTCAACAATATTCTCAAACCTCGCAATCAAGACGAGCAAGCAGTCGCCGTCGTCACATCGAAAAAATCATCTCCAAACGACTCCACAGATCTCAAACAAATCGACGTAGCGGACGAACGGAAGGAATCCCGGGAGGAGTTGGAGAGGGACAAGTTGATTTACGAACTCCTCTGCAAAGTCTTGGACTCTGCGAGCATGAAAGTTAATCAGATCGAGAGAGGAGTTTTAAAACAGATTTTATAGATGACAATGTCATCATGACATTATTATTTATGATGAGTATGATTATGATTTTGCAATTTATCATTCTTCTCTTGTGGATTAGGGCGTTGTTCGTAATGCAAAATTTTGACCGGGAGTGGAACACTACTGACAATAGAGGTCGACCAGTGTGTGTTCAATTTGAGGAAATTAGTGTTAATCGATGACAAATTTAATCATCGATTAGATCATCGATTGACACAAATTTCCTCAAAATTTGATCGCATACGCTGAGAGGCCTCCATTCCGAGATTTCATAGTTCCTAAAACAAGTTTGCACACGCCACACGGTCAAAATTTTACATTGCAACCGTTAAACTTATATTCTCATATTACGAGATTACTCATTGTATTTATATTCCTTTTTTATTTTTGTAACGAGAGCTATGATCTACTAAAAAAATTGATGCCATTGTTTATTTTACTACTACTTAATTAATTATGCTTACTTAAAGAATAAATAATTTCCAAAATGTCAACACTTTTTCTTATAAATTTGGAGATTCAAAGCTCTTATTTTTATTTTCGTTTCGCTGTTTGTCCAGCCTTACATAAATGTATTTAACTACTTTTTAACATGTAATAATCTCAGATTTTGGAAGACACATGCATAGTTTTAGGATGAAAAAAGTACTATTTTTTTGTACTGTTGAAGATATTACACCAAAAACCAACCAAGTCAAGTGTCGTGGGGGTGGTGTGGTAATAAACGTTCAAAATTTCTCAAAATCTGAATACAATAAAAAACAAACAAGAAATTTAACTAATCATAAGAAGAAAGGATACAGCAGCCATTAAATTAATTCATAAACCCATTAAATTATCCCCAAAACTAAATCTAAGTCTAAATCTCACCAACAAAGTTAATAATAATAATTATCCAAACCCAGTTAATTAATTGTGGTGGTGGTAACATTAATATAATACATCAAGAAGTAGTGAAAACATAAATTCTTGACAAATCAGATCAGGAAGAGACACAAAGTAAAGTAAGATAAGTCACATTACTGACTAGACATAAAATCGAAAGTAATATTTAAGTACATACATAGAGATTTCACAAATTCTAAAAATTTCTAAAATTCATAACTTAACACAACTTCAGATTATGTTTTATATAGACAGTCTTCAAGTATTTTCTCGTCGAGATTTTGAGATTTCCTATTATATAAAATATTTTTCTATATTTATATTCTTATAGATTTAATTAGCTGAAGGCACGTTTCATTTCATTACTGATTGAAAGAGTTGGAAGACGAACGAAGCAGAGATACATGATTAACTGATTTCTGGGATTAATAATCCAATAATTATGCGATACTGGATTAATTAATCGCGATTACCGGATTAAAGATTGAGAGGATTAAAGAATACTAATCATTAACCATTAATATAAGAAAAAATCCAATAATTACGCGATACGGGATTAATTAATCGTGCTTAACGAATTAAAGATTGAAGGGATTAACGAATACTAATCCTTAATCATTAATCCCATCAAAAAATCCAATAATCACGTATCTCTGCGAACAAATAGTTATTTTTTAAAGCTCACATCGACAAGTATTCATAGTTTTTCTTTGCGTAGAACACATAAATTTCATTAATACATATTTACCAAGTTGATATAATAGGCACACATAAGTTTCGTTTCAATGATTGCTTTATATTTTCATCCAAAATTATAAAATTACTCTTAACCTATTTCTCCATCAAATAGAGATAGTTGATTATTTCTCTTTTGCATACATTTCTCCTCCTCCCTCCATTTAAATATTGCTCGACGAGTGACCACCCCCACCGGACGTGTGCTTCATAATACTTTCAAACCAGGTCGTCTCCTTGTACAAGAACCACAAATTTCCAGTCCAGAGAACAAAATTGATTACGCCAAAGAGCTAAAAAACATGAGGACAATTTAAATATTGCGACGTGAACCAATCTGCTAAAAATTGTGGGTATTCATTACGAATTCGCATCATTGTAAACATTAGCAAAAAAACCAAAGCTCGCAAATTCGCAAAAAAAAATTTCGCTTGAAAATTCATTTGCCAACTTTCAGATCTCTAAGGCTAGTATTTTTTTCAAAATTATGTCACGATCTCGTAATGAATACCCTTAATAATCAACTCCGTTCGCTTACAATGCTCACAACCAATTTCGAATACGAGGGCTCAATGATTCGCGTGAATTCGGGCAAGGTGGACTGCTTATGGTGGTTGTATTCGTACACCGTGCTGGGGGAGGTGGCATGCGACATGGTGGAAACCCCTTTGCCGAACGCGGCGATGGCAGAAATCCAAAAGATGGCAAGGACCAAGGTCACCACGAAGTCCTGAAGAATTTTAAAATATATAAAAAACTGTGATCTCCTCCTCACCCTGAAAAGTTTACTTATTTAACGTAGGACTCGTCCTCAAAATTAGCACATTTTCAATCATTTCTATCCTCTGGGAACTTATTTTAAAATTCTGGGCGACGAATTTGTAGTCAGTGAGTTGATTAATGGAATAGCGAAGAGTTTTTTGAGCCAGTTTCGACGAGTCAAATTTTCTCAATGCTTCCTAAACTTGAGATCTCCTTCAAAAAGTGTCAAAATCTAAAGTGTATATTTTGTAAAAATTGAAAACTCTCTCCTCTACAAATTTTGTCGTCCAGAATTTTAAAATAAATTCCCAGAGCGGAGAAATAATTCAAAATGTGCCGATTTTGACGGAGTTATCGTGTCCTACTTATCACAACTTACGATAAGTGGGACCTTGTTATTGGTCTGATACACCTTTTCATACAGAAGGTACAGCACCCCACCGATCATCGCGTAGAGGAAGGACAACACTCCGGTGCAAACGTAGTACTGCGCGTCGGATCGAGCATTCCCAAAGAACACGATTTCAAGCCCACCTGCCACACAGGTCTTGTCCACCTTGACCGTTGGATAATGGTCCATCCTATTACAATCAAAGATAATTAATCATTAATAATCATACCTGTTCACTTTCATTCATTTGAGTGATGATGATACTGAATGAAAATGAATTTCCTGTGATTTGAGTGAAAGATTCCGTCATTTCAGATGAATGACTGTGAATGAAGGATTTCTCACTCATTTTATTTTTCACCGTATGCTTAATACATGGAGCGAAGTCAGGAATGAAGTCAGATAAAGTGAAATGAAATGAATTTGAACGAAAATTACTGAATGTGAATGAAAATATTCACTCAGGAATTGGGATGACTGACTTTTGAATGAAAATTAAATTGTTGAACAGGTATGTTAATAATTATTAACAAATTAAACTAAATATCAACACCTTAATATTTAATAATTTCTAATTTCCTTACTCAAATGGATACTCCACCGTTTGCCGGATCACTTGCGTCCCATTGTTGACCGGACAGGGCAGAGTGAAGCCAAATTCCGTCGTAAAACTCACCGTCGTCGAAAAAGCGAGTATCGCGAAGAACTAAGTTAATTAATTAAACCAACAATTAGCTAATTAATTAATAACTTCACAAATTTAAATTATTAATTAACTCACCCATTGCAAAACTTTTATGAACCCTCTCGGCTCCCGGAAAGGGGCCAAATTCACCTCCTACAAAATTCGGCATCAATAATTAACGATCGATAACCACAAACTAAACAAAAACTACTTACAAAATTCATCAGTCCGCCGCCCGACATGGGGTTCGATCTTCTTTTAACAGAAAAACTAGATGTTTCAAACCTCAATTAATTATTTAATGACGAGTCTTCTTCTTCTCATTAACTGCTGCAAAATTAAACAACAAAACTCAACTAACTAACTAAACTATACGACGGACCGAAAGCCAACCACCACGTCTAAATCTTGCCCTATGTGCAAATCCTATTCACCAGACTAACCACCACCACAGTACTGCTCTGCTGTATAAGTTGGTATGTAGCAGAGGTGGGCAAAATACTTGGTCAAAATACAGTATTTTGAGGCCCGGGTTTAGATTTCTGGGACCGTCACGCCCACAAAAGGACAAGAAATCTACACCGAAAAGATAGCAGTCACACATAAATACGCGTTTTATAAAGCAATGAACATTTTATCGATGTTAAAATACATTATTTTCACGATTTTATTAAACTAAAATATTTTCCCAGCAATACAAAGTGAATTTCTTCACAAAACACCTATTTTACTTCGACATGCTACCTCCTCCTCGTAGATTCTCGTCTTTTTGTGGGTGTAACAGCCCCGGAAATCAAAACCCTGGGAAGAACGGGCCTCAAAATACTTAACCACCCTTACTTCTTGACCGCAGAAGCCATGGGGACATCTGGGGACATTGCCGAATTGGGGAGGGAAGGGCTTTCATAACATTAGGAACATCAAATAAGCGTGGGGACATTGTCCCTCTATCCCCCACGCTTCCGCGGCCATTGATCCGTGTGGGGGAGGGGGGTCACGTATTTTCGTTCCACTATTACCTTCTCCACCTAAATTCCCCTCATTTCCTGTCTGTAACACTCCCAGAAATCCAAACCCTTCCCAAAACAACGGTCCACTTTCCCCCCATATTTTGCCCACCTCTGTCTCGCCTAGTCTACTCTACATACAGCAGTAGTGTGTGTTAGTGGCTGGTTTTGAGTGTAGAATAAATCAGCCTTTCGCCTTGCATCGACTAGTAGTGCAATGTCTTCCAGCAGTCCAGCTCCCTGTCAGCGGCAGTCGCTCAACGGCCTCCGCTCCTAAAACAACACAACTCGTCGCACTGGGAGTGTCGCGACTCGCGGACGGACGGACCGTGTCGTATCCACTACAACAATTAACTAAATAATAATTAAACCCCCATATTTAACCCCAACTTAACTCCTCATCTCATCTTAACTACTCTCTCGTGTCGGAAATCAAAATCAAAAATAAAAATAAAATCAAAAACTTTTTGATCAAATTTGACTGGATCATATTTTATTTTATTTTGTGGGTGTGGTTGGTGGATTGGATTGGATTGGACTTCTCTCTCTCTCCTCTTTTTCCCCCCTTTCCTCTTCCCCCTCCTTCCTTCCTTCTTGTTTCCTTCCTCGTCGGTTATCGGTGCGGTTATCGTGGCGTGGTCGTCGTCTCTCCCCCCACAAAATAAAATCCGGCGACGACGACGTCGCCAAATAAACGAACCCTTTCTTAAGTGGTGTGCCGCCGTGTGGGAGGAGTGACAGTAATTTAAAAAAAGAAAGTGGTGAAATATGCACGACCTTATCTACACAATTCATGGGTTCGCCGTCTTCTTCTTCATCTTTTGGGCCGGTCTATGGGCAATCCATGGGATCGCGTTGTTCTGGAGGTGAGTCACTCATTATTAATTTCCTATTTATCGTGGGGGTGCATTAATTAAAGTTAAAGTTAAACTTAACTACATACTCATTCTTAGTACGCATTGTTATTATAATGTCAATCAGAAGTGTATTGATTTCCTTCTCGTATGGCAGAAAACAAATTCCATCATTCCTTTCGCTCTTTTTCGTACATAACACTTTGTACTTTGATTTAAGGCCGCAAGTGTTAATTTGAATAATAACATAACATAACTAACATCCTCGTCATCCACATGTTTTGTTTGTGACGAATGTGTTATTTTAAACTCGTCACACTCACTTTTAAACTCGTCATCGCTCTTTCCTCTCAAAAACTTTTTGTAAAAAGTGTAGTAATTTGTGTCCTCAAATGGTGTAGTCAGATATGCGGTAATATTTAGATAAGCGATCGATATGCGGATAACATGCGGCAATGTTTAGAGTGCGTGAATACATCTTTTCATCCTCGTACCAATTTCCAACGAACTTTGTCAAGTGTCTCAGTGGCCGCGGAACAATGTCCCCACGGTTTTTCGATGTCGGCATCCCTCCCTCCTTTCCCTATATATCCTACAATTTTAATGTCCCCAGATGTCCCCACGGCTTCTCCGCGGCCACTGCATTTCGTCACTCAGTCAAGTGAACAAGGAGGATGACGATGACTCATATTCTGATAATATTTAGATTGCTTTTCCCCCAAGTCATTTACGTGAACAAGGATAAACATTTTTAGCGTTTTTTTAAAACCCCGTCATAAACAAGTCAAATTTTATCATCGGAATATACATGACTGGACTGACTAAATAACTGCATCATTGACGACGACGAGGAGGTTACGAGATTACATATATTGTGACATGTACAATATGACCCTGTTCCTCCAACCAATGACTTTGGGTTGGGGACCGAATCACGCACGAGGGCTAAAATTAACCAGTAATTATTACCAGACCAGACCACCACTACATAAAGATAACGTGAAAGATAATGGATAAGGAAGTGAGGAGATCAATTTTCATGAATCATTATTATTATATTCAACTGCTCGTGTCGGTTTTGTCGATCGTGTGTATAAAGTATTTCTCAGGTCGTTTTTTTCTTTCTTCTCCAATTTATAAGCTGCTTTATGTTATTGTTTTGTCCGTCCGTCTGTCCATCCGTTTGTGGGCAGGATATTTCTCGAACATCTTAACACAATTACACCCCGTTTTCGGCATTGTGCTGCTAATTTATTTTCCAGGTCGTTTTTTCTTCTCCAATTTATTAAGCTTTATGTCATCGTTTTGTCCGTCCGTCCATCTGTCCGGATATCTCCAGAACGTCTTCACAATTTTTGACTCTAAATCGATTCCTATCCCTCCCAAGGTGTCAGGTCAAACTCGAAATTTCCATATGTGGCGTCATTTTATCGGAAATTTCACGCTACTTTTTCATATTCTGTGTAATAGATGCAGAATTAATCAGGAGACGATAATTTTCATTACGTCACGATGATGCTCCTCTCTCCTGGAGAGGTCATGGTCTAGCCGTGGCATGGAATTGCTTACGCGGATGATAAATATCAGGTGCATATAAATAATGCATTGCAACCCATGAAATAAATGATGGATCATCATCATCGTCAATAGTCGTCATCATCGTCATCCTATTTATTTATATAATCGGAATATTTCCTCACTTCACTCACAAAATTATCGCATCACGGGTCAGTCTCGTTTAATCCTTTACTTGGAATTATGCATCACTCCGTGGTCAGTGGCCGCGGAAGCCGTGGGGACATTGTGAGGACGGGGTTTATATATGATGGGGACATCGAACAACGGTGGAGACATTATTGTCCCTTCTTCCGCGGCCACTGGTCCCGGTTTAGTTTAGGTAGCGTTTCGTTTCAATTTGCTAAAGTCAACTTTAGCGAAGTGAGATAAATATGAACGAGTCTCTCATTTCCTTCCTTTGAATATGAGATTTGCTGAAATCTGGCTGGTCGGTCGTGCAGATATTTTTGCACATTTTTTTTCTATTGTAATATGACACACAAAACGATTAGTAATAGTCTAGCTTTGTTAAGAAAAAAGGGGTGTTTTTCACTATGAATCATATACATACGTTTACATTAGATTACATCGCATCCCACTATAATTTATCCATATTTACTCGGAATAGACTAGAGAATGGGCTGCAGAACAACGTGGGGACAATAGAGACATGGGTTCGATATTTGTGATGGATGCACATTTACATTTTCCAACTTTTTCGGAAATTTTGAACGTTTCGCTTATCTTAAAGGTCCATTTTTTACGGATCGGGGAAATTTTTCCGAAATTTTCTCTCCCCACCCCCCCAATTTTCAGGGAATAAATCACCCAACCAACCAAAGTCTGAAAATTTTGTACCAAATTTGTACTACTGGATTAATGCGTATTCACCGTTAAAATGTGAAGCGGATTTGCAGTAATTTTGTACAAGTCGCATGTACAAGATTCATACGAAAAAATTGTCAATGCAAGTTTACTTGTACAAAATATGTACTAAATTTACACAAACAGGTTTGTACGAATTTGGTGATGATTGATATGCAGTAATATGGTGAGAATTTAGTACCAATTTAGTGCGAATTTAGTGCTGATTATGCACTAATGATACGCATGAAATTTATGCACATTTATTTACACGGATTACTCAAATTTCAATTGTTTATTTATTTCAAATTCATCTTCATTATTTCCACATTAATTGGTTCTCAAATAATTCTAATTTATAGATTAATTTCTAATTAAAAGATGAATTGCAAATTGGCGTACAAAAATATTTATCATTAATCATCGGCAGAATTAAATATATGGGACCTTGAAGTAGATTAGCTGCTAATCGATTTGCGAATGGAATCTTGTCGCTTTTTTCCAGTATATCGAATTTTAGAACGAAGCTCATTCGTAATCATGGAATGAGTATGTCGTACACGTCCTTAGCCAACGACGATCCACCCTTCCTCGAAAGAGAAGCAATCTGAAATAATTGCATTGAGCTATAAAAATTGTTTTCCAACTTATTTGCATTGCATTGCTGCAGTAATTATACATACAAACTCTTACTTCTTCATTATAATAGGATGGATTTGCCAGTAACGCTTAGATATTCTCCAGCTCGTCCACAGTTTTTGAATTTGGGCAACTAGCTCTTGTTGATTTTATCAGAAGTTTTTCAAGATTTGCCACCCTTTCCAACAATATACATATGCTGATTTCTCAATGACTCTTCTTGAAATTCTGTATTCAAACACGAGTTTATAGAAATTTAATGTAAACATAATAATGTGAGACTAATAAATGAGCCTTACCTCTGAATTCTGATATAAGTGATTCAATCCGTGGGTCCGGCTCTAATTGCTAACTTTGAACCTGTGGGGTCTCGCTACTCACTTCTTCAGTTGAGGGGATGGCGATGGGGACGGTTGAGTTCCCGATGAAAATAAATATTAAGATTGAAGTGTGTTTCAAACTACAGTGAATTTATTATTTATGATTTTCTTACTATCGGTGCACAAATCGGTGTCAGGGGCTAGTATAATGTTCACCTCAGACGCTTCAGCTGAGAATTTGATTCTTGACGACGTCTTGGTATGTCACAGTCACTAGAGTCGATCGGTTTATTCTTTATATATTTTTCCAATTTCTTTACGGCTTTATCGTACGTATCTATAAATTTAGTAAAACATCTTTGCATCATTAGGCTAAATATGGATGAGCGTAAAATTAGCCAAGAATAAATAATTACCGTGTGTTCCGACATATAATATGCCATAATTCGTCCAACCTTCTTGCGGGAGAGAAAATGGGTCACTTTGATAACTCGAAAATCCCTTAGGAATGGGATTAGTAAACTGACAAAGTTGAATCCTTGAAACTCCATGTGGACGGCACAACCTCCACCCCCTCGTCAACTTCAAACTCGAATAATACGAATGCTTTCAAATTGTCCGACATAGGTTCACAATTAGCTCACCAACTTTCTGGTTGGAATTCAAAATGGAGAAAAAACGTGGCGACGCTACTTTGTCAGATGCCAACCTGACTGATTACGTTGCTCGAATTGGTTTATTTAATCGCTAATAGAGAAATAGTACTAATTTATTAATAAATTATCGCGGAATAATCGGCACGAATTCAGTACAAATATTCTAGCACATTTTTACTGCAATTGGATTCGTGCAATTTTCCAGGTGCGAATTATGTATGAATTTAGTGCGAGAAATCTCATGAGAATTTTATGCCAACAAATACGTACTAAATTTTCACTTCTCCATTTGTAATAATTTACTACTAATTAATTTGTGATAATTTAATGCGTTTTGCGTGCTAATTTATTAGTAGTAGACAAATTGATACCAGTTTTGTATGAATCTAGTACAAATTAATGATTGCATTTTTTTATGCACAAAAATTGCATAAACTTGCATTGGAATTCGCAGCAAATATGCATTGAGGTTACTTGGGCAGATATCAAACCCACCAAATACGAATATAGAGCAATTAAAGTTTTTTATGCATTTAGGGATTAATTAGATTGACAAGAATAGAAAAAAATCCCATGGGATCATTGCCCCCTGCTGCACGTCCCCTCCCCCTTGGACCTACATTTCATCTCCTCTCGCGTAATCAACTGGAAGTAGAGTAGACCAAATAATATCAACCAAACCATTACATACAAAAACACGCTTACGCTTGAATAATACATACATAAATAAATCCTATCGTATCGTATCGCTTAATTAAATAGTAGTGGACGAACATCATTGTTATAATACATGCAGGATGATGATAAATAGACACCAATTTGATCGAGGTTTGGTTTGGTCAACTCGACATTATTTTGCCCACTTTCTACTACATTCCACTTAACTTACTACTACGTCCAACCAGACCAGACCACCAAGTAAAGCAAGTCCACCAACATTTATTTATTTATTTCCTATTTATCATCATCACATATT